CGCGTTTCTCTCGCCAAATGGCGTCCGTATCTACGTGGGCCACGTTCGGCAAGAACACTGACCTTGATGTTCCGGACCCGAGGATCTCAGCGCCCCCGTCCGCCTGGCACAATAACCTTGGGAGCACGGAGTCCGTGGAGTTACGGCGTTCGTCTAGCAGCAAGAGATATTCGCAGTCCAAGAACGGGTCTTCCACTTCCCTGCATCGTACCAATGATCCGTCTCGGACGCCCTCCGACATACGACCTTCCGCCTCGGGGCTGTCGACCCCATCTACGAAACGTAACGATCGTCACGACTTTAATGATCACGCTCATCGGCACGAACCTGCATTCGATAATAATCACCACTTGCATATATCTCGCTCCTCGCATTCTCGTTCTCGCTCTGACTCTCGGCCGCGCTCTGGTTCCCGTTCCCATTCAACACGCTCTCGGTCGCAATCTTTATACCATTCGGCACCCATCACACCGCCGGACCCTGCCTTTGCATCTCCGTATACCTTTGGCGCACCTTCACCTCCGGCTGGAAACACGTCTCGGTTTGAGTCGGTGTCCCCACCGCCACTTCCACCTTTGCAACATCCCGAATTACTCTCAGCTTTGTCCTCGCGTTCGCGGCTCGATGTTTCCAATGTTTTCAGCAGTACCCACCACCTACCAGTTCCGACCTGGACAGCGACGTTGCATGCGAGTACGTACCCTCGTAGGCGCCGTGGCAAGACGATGAGCGATGTCCGTTCTGCGGCATCCACCCCAGCACAGGCTGCCCCGATGTTGCGCAGACGGAGGAGCGCGAGTCTCCCTAGGGCCAACAGGATCTTCCGCATCTCCTCCACGGACAGATTGCGGCGCGGCTCTGTTAGGCACCTGCCAGCCTCGCCGCGGAGACGCGCCAGTGCTGAATGGAGTGCAGCGCAGGCCACAGCGGGTGTCACAGCCCTTCTCCCCTCTGACTTTGGCTGGCCTGCTGAAGTCGCCCACCGCTTGGTGCAGTTGTCTCTTGGGCGTGACGTCAGGGAGACCAAGGAGACGAGGGAGACCGCCACAACCGGGCGCCTACGCAACGGTGTCCAGAGACGAGCGGGAGAAGCCGAGCCTCGTGGTACCCAGGCGGATGGGCGCGATACGCCCGCATGTTCTCCTCCATCTCGCCTTATACCCACTTCTCCTAGTCCCATTTCCCTTCAGTCGCCATCCGCGCAGGAAGGTGCGCAATGAACATATCTGATAACGCGTGAAGCACTACTGAAGTTATTTTGATAGCGGCCGAGGGTCTCGGCAGTCACGACTCCTTGCATTCTATGGATACCCCGCACTCGATTAGGTCGCAGCATCCCAGCGAGCATGATAGCAAGCTGCCGAGAAACGGATCCGCGACAGACACGCTGAAGCGGTCAACCAGTGCTTCTGTTCGCGACTCAGTGGGCACCGGGCGCAGCAAACGTGCCTCTCATAGAAGTAACCCGTCACCTGTCGCTTCCTCTTCACGACCTCTTGAGCCCAGCGATTCTTCCTCTTCATCTTCCGCGGCTCTTGCTACTCCCCCGCCACCGTTCAAAACCAAGTCCGCCCTGCGCACTCCGCGCTCCGGGAGCGAGCCCGCTCTCAACTCTGTTCCAGAGACGCCCACTAACTCGAAGGGCAAGCGGAAAGCAGAGGAGCTCGATACCACACCGCCAGACCAAAAGACGGCGCACCATGCGACGTTTGTGATACCTCCAGAGGCTCGCCGTGGGTGTAGATCATGGTTACGTTCCTGTTTTTGCTCCTTACCTCTACCCATGCGCAGGCTCCCATCGCAGCTCTGAGGTATCCGGCGCGCCCTCCTCGTACCACCGAAAACGTGCGCGTCTATCAGCCTCGACGCCGCAAAGCTCGCCCGCACACTCGCGCCCGGCTTCCTCGCAACAGCCTTCGCCCGAACAGAACGCGTCGTGGTCGCGCCGGTCAGCCCAGACCCACCTCCTCCGCTCGGGCTCGCGCGCGTCCCACACACAGTCAACGATGTCGGCGCGACGCGCAGAGTCGGGCGGCCGGCGCAGCATCGACGCGTCGGAGCGGTCCATCCCCATCAGTGCGCTGATCACGCCGCACGCACCGTCCGTCGCGCGCTCGAGCACGTACCACATGCGCGACCCACGGAGGCTGCCGAGGATACACCCCACGGAGTGGACACTGCACCTGCGCTCGGAGGACGAGGACGCGTCGCCGTTGCACGCATGGTGCTTCTTCGTGGGCTTCGTCTTGTTCCCGATATGGTGGCTCGCTTCCTTCTGGCCTATCCCGAAGACGCGGCGCGTCGGCGACACTGACATGGAGAAGGCGGTTACGCTGGACGACCCGCAGGTTGAACATGGTGCGTGGTTTGCCTGTTGGCTGTGGGCGGCGTGTTTGATGCGGGTGTGCAGATGCCAGGACGTGGCGCAATAGGTGCCGCGTCATGTCTGGGATCTCCTTCCTCACGTATATACCTTTCATTGTCCTCGTAGCCATCTTCGTCCCGCGTCATGTTTGACGACGCTGCCGCCCCGTTGTGGTCCCGCTCCTCTCGCCCGCCTGTCATCAACATAGAATGCCACCTGCGCTGTATCACCTCCTGTCGCTCTTTCTGTTGTCACACTCGTTGTCCTGGTTGCCCTGGGTTGGTGTATCCTGCACTTGGACTCGGACCCGCCGCGAAATACCTAGCCGAACGCAAGTAATACGTTGTTGTAATACCGTACACCCGCACTTCCCAATCGTGTTACACGTTAATAATTGACCTTCTATGTTTATATGCGATACACTGTGTCAGTCGTCCTGGACGTCGAGATCGCCCTCCACGCCTGCACCCTCGCCGGTGTCGTCGAACATAACATCCTCGTTGGCGTCGTACTCCCAGTTGCCGTCTTCCTCGACGTAGTCTTGCATCTCCATGTCCTCGGTATAGACAATCTCGCCGTTCGTTGCGCCTGCGCCTGCGCCTTTCCCGTGCACTCCGTTCGTGAGCGGAGCCGCCGGACCCGACAATGACGATCTGATGGTCTCGAGGATGTCGTCCATTTGGGTTCCGAAGCGATCTTCCAGTTCCTCAACAATCTGTGCAGAGCGCCTTCATTACGCTCGATTTCAGGCAAGAGATTCACGAGCACGCACGACATAGAGTTCTACGGCTTCCGTCGGGGCGAGGTTGACGATCTGGAGTTTCTCCGCCTTCGTCAAGTCGTACTGCCCGAGGCTCTTCGTAAGCTGAACAATGCCGGCCTCCGTCTGCGACACGGTGGGCTGGTAGTCCGCCGACAGGTGTTGAATGGCCTCCACTTCAATAGTCCTGAGATTTTCGCAGATGTCGTCTGACGGCTGTATCCGCGCGGAGTGGTTCCCTGCAGCTTCTTCCTCCTTCTTTATGCGCAGAGCCGTTTTAGTCCGGGCGAGGTGGTCGCTCTCGAGCTCTTTGAGTAGGGTAAGCACCTCGAAGTTGGACAGCAGCGCGGAGCGTTTGTCGAGGACCTGCGCAGGTCGGTGAGCCTGTGCATCGCGGGCCGGAGCTGGATCACGCACGAACCTCCATCGCGCCGCGCGAGAGTCGTCAGGTTCTAGGATTAGAGTAGCAGCCCGTAGATCCCACAGCACGCAGATCTGTCCTTCAACGGAACGCGTAGAGTAGCATTGCACAGAGCCGATGGCGTACGGAGAGAAGGACGCCACAACGTCGGCTTGAATTTCGCGAGAATATGAGGGTTGCCAAAAGCGGCAGTGCCAAGGAGTTATCCCGTCACCCCAAAATTACGGCGGGTAATTGGACGCTGCCACTGGACGAGGAGAGACAGCGAGCGGCTCAAATCCATCATCTTGCCCGCCATCCTCTCCTCCATCCCCCTCGCCTGCAGCACTCTCCCCGCCGCAAAAGCCATGAACCGCCCAGGTAACGGCTGGAACTCGCGAGTCCCCGCTGAGATGTTCACGTCGCGTGCAGGTCAACCCCCGCAGAGGCCACCGAGTCTCGCACCCAATCCCGCCCTCGGCGGCCCCTACCGCGGGCCCTACCCAGGATACGGCATGCCTCCTCGGACTGTCATGCCGGGCTACCCAGCGCTGCAGAACCATAGAGCGGGTCCCAATCTCGTCGCACAGCCGTCGCCAAGTTTAAACATGTTCCAGCAACGCGGGCAGAGCAACTTCGCGTTCGCGTCCGGAGGCCTCCAACAGTCGCAGTCACAACATACCGGCTCGACACCGCTATCACACACGCCCATACAACAGTCCCAACCCTCCAGTGCGACGTCGACACTACCACCGCACCTAGCGCAGTCCACTACGCCAAGCCTAGGGACAGCACCCTCGGTCTCGTCGGCAAGTGAAGTAGGGCTCGATCCCAACGACTTCCCCGCCCTCGGTTCAACACCGACGACAAACTCGAACGCAGCGTCAAGTACAAACGCGACGAGTTATGCGAGCCAGGCAGGGACGGGTGTGATGGGGACGGGGGCGAGCGGAGTACAGGCAGCAGCGGGCAATGGAGCTAGCCAGGACCGAAACTTTGGGCCGGACGACTTCCCTGCCCTAGGTGGCCAGAACCAAACATCGCATCAGCAACAACAGGCGCACCAACATACGTCGGACGGCCATCCTCCAGGACTCAATGGCTTCCAACAAGCAGACCAGCAGCATCGACAGAGTTTGCTGGGCTCATTAACGGGTGGCTCGCAGACGCCTGCTCTCGGGAGTGGCCAACAGCAACCAGGTGTGCTTAATCTGGGTGGACAAGCAAGGGGCGTGCATCCAGGGTTCCAGACCCAGTCTGATGCAGAGAAACAGCGGGTGCGTGCGAGTTCCCGAGAACGCGAGTCTGAAGTGCTGACGTACGTGCAGAACTATGCGCTCAAGTTGAACCAGACGAACCACGCCGCCGCCGCCGCTGCATGGAACTCACCCAATGCGAACCCCAGTGCACAGCAAACGACACCGCTCACGTCGAACGCGCCAAACGGTCTACACCAAAACCACACGTCGCAGTCTCAACAACATCTCACCGCGCCGCCCGGTGTGCCACCACCAGGAACGTTCTCGCAACAGCAACAGCCACATACATCGCAGACGCTGGCAGCACAAACTCCATACGTGGGCAATGGTACGACAGGTGGGGACACCGCCCATCATCCATCGCAAGGGCCTGCGCATGCGACGAGTGCAGTACCACAAACACCAGCGCAGCAAGTGCTCATGTCGCCCGCAGATCGGTGGGGACTCCTAGGTCTCCTGGCGATGATTAAGCTCGCGGATCCGGACCAAAACTTGCTGTCGATCGGGACGGACTTGGGGACGATGGGGCTGGACATGCAGACACAAGGGTGCGCGGCAGTGTCTATGGGGCTCTGAACTCAACTGACATGTGCTTTGGCTTTGGTGCAGAAGTTTGCATCCAGCGTTCATCACACCGTGGGCAGACTCGTCCGCAGCGCATACGGTAGAACCAGACTTCCATCTACCAGCATGTTACGCCGTGCAGCCACCCCCGCCGGGCCCGAGCAAGGCGCAAGCGTTCAGCGACGAGACGCTCTTCTTCATGTTTTACTCTTCGCCGCGAGATGCCCTCCAGGAAATCGCAGCACAAGAACTGTACGTACCTGCACTTTCCCGCTCCTATTGCCCGCTAACCTCCCTGTGCTGCTCAGCTACAACCGCAACTGGCGGTACCACAAGGAGATGCGGTTGTGGCTGACGAAAGAGACGGGCACCGCGCCTTCGCAGAAGGTCCAGGGCGGCGAGCACGGCACGTACTCGTACTGGGACCCCGACAACTGGGAGAAGGCACGGAAAGAGATGACCGTGCTCTACACCGACCTCGAGGAGAAGAACCAGCCCGTATTCGCCCCAGGCCAGACGCTCCAGCTGAACCAGCCGCAGATGCACACGCCGAGCGCACCCACGCAGAGAATAGGCACGTTGCAGGGCATGGGCATGGCTGCAATGTGACCGCCGGGCTCTATACTGCCTCTTGGGGCGCTCAAGACACGCACAGGGATGGGGCCCGGTGCGTTTCTGTAATAGCTGAGGGATTGTGGACAGGACGCTACGCCTCGGTTGTATTCCCCCCATAACGTTGACTCTCCCTCTCTCACTCCGTATATCTGCCTTGCCTTCATCCGGTGCTGTTTGCAGTCTCTACTTCGTCGTCGAGCTATCATACGCTTGTATCTCTAAGCCTACTGTTGAAATTATCCTCCATCTCGTCTCCCAGCCGGTCATCATCCTTCAAAATAGGCTGCCGATGAATTGAGACACGAGGCGCCCCGATACATATACACATTAAGTCCATGGTGGGAAAGCTACGACAGCGATTGAGAAATCCGAGCCACGAGAAACAGTGGGAGATCTAAGCGGTAAGTTATACTAGTACAAGGGCAATTCTTCTATACCATGAATGGGTTGCGATTCCTCTTCCGCGACACCGTTTATACCACCAACATTGACTGTCCTCGCCGTGCCCCTGGTTGCGTCCACCGCGAAGCTCAACGTGCGTGAGCGGCGTATGGACAGCGACGTGACACTGTGAGATTGCTCTTCCGACACCGCCTCCTTTTCGTTGATCAATACTGACTCGGCTTTGCGTTCGTGCTTCTCGAACGATGAGTCTTCTGTGGACGGAGAATCCTGAGCCCCCTCCTGATTCGTGGCTGGCTTCTTGAGATCGCGTGGAAGGATGACTGCCCGGTCGAGTGCAACAGGCAACCCGCGATGGCGGCCGCGAACCATCACCGCGCAGAGGATGAGCTTGGATAGCGTATGGAGTGCCCCGCAAAAGCTGAAGTTTGCCTTTGCGAGTAGATGCGTATCATCAGTTGGCCATGTGGGTGGAGGTGCGCGGCTGGGCGGGACTTACATAGGGTACACCGAGAGAAAGACCAACCGTGCCGTAGGCAGAGACAAGTTCGAAGACTAATCGGTTGCGGAGATCAGTAATGTACCAGCAACATTTGAAATTGCAGAAGACGCACTGAGAGCGAAGATATTAAACCACGATGCCTTGCTCGTATCCATAAGCGGGGTGCGCTGATCATGAAGGATCAGCTTCTGGGTACGTCCTCGGCAGCTCTCTCAGGCGTACCTCAATAATACACAGAAGGAACAAGGATAGAGCCAGCCACCACATATCAAACGATAACTGCCTTCGCGCGTGCGTCCACAAGTATTTACCCCATATCTGTACCCGTGCTTCCGAGCTGTCGTCCATCCCGTACGCCATCTCGTCTGCCTCGTATACGCCGAGCGATGTCTCTTCGTACACGTTCGTCGAGCGTACGCTGATATATGGTCTCGTATAAGGCTTCCTGACGCACGAAGGCGAGATGCGAGGTATTTCAAGTACGCACCTCAGGGCGATAGGATACATCGCAATATACATCATCACGACGTCGAGTACCCTATCATAACACATCCGTTAACATCTACGCCTGCATTCATCAGGGGTAACTCACAGAACAGCGGGAACGAGGGACGACAACGGTATAACCTGAAACCCTGCGCTGCGGACTGCAGACGCCTGGAGGAGTGCATCCACAATTCGCGTACCCAAGGGGATACTGTCAGTCGCCGGATTCCCCCAGTTCAATACGATGTCGAAGAGCCAGAGAACAAAACTAGGGCATGTCAGCCGCGGCTTATGCACAACAATGACAACCAAGAGTTGGCACTCACTCAATCATGAATTGCACAGCCAGCAGAACCCACGTTTGATTTGCTGGGAAGAGATAAATGAAACACCGGCGTGGATGATCTAGAAGGAAATGCAATGCTTCGTTCGTGCGAGAGTTGTGAGGAAGTATCTTCGTTATGGTCCAACTATACGTCCCGTCATCCCGACGCACTTGCGGGATTCTAGAGATGTCACTCACATCATGAATCTGAGGCTGGAAGTACGGCTGTCATGTCAGGCTTTGCACTCCGAACAGAAAGGGGCTCACGCACAAAATCGGCTAGTAATCAGACAGATGAGGGCGATTGATTGTGAACCAAGTTCACGACTTACAAATGCAGTATTTCCAGCCAACACGTCTAGGCATAGAACAACGACCATGAGATACGCATTGCGGAACGGCACCATGTTTTGGTCTACTAAAGACATGCCCGTGTTCGCCCAAGCGCCAATGACCTGGAAGGCCGAGAACCTTGCCAAATGACCGCCTTAATGTTCGGAACAGTCGAGGAAGCTATACGCACGCACCAGATTGGATTAATATCGCGGTGCTGCTGCGGTACGCGAAAGATCCAGCGGTAGCTATCCTCGTTGGCAACTGGCGCGATGGCAATAAACGTGATCGCTAGCAAACCGAAGTAGTACTGCAAGGTGTTCTCAATCATCTGACGCGATGAACTCAACACGCGCATGCTTACCAGTGGGACAATCCACAGTAGTGCGGTCAGAGCACGATACTCTACGCCACCGAGTTCCTCGATATTCTCATCCGTCAAGCCGTGAAAGGTCGAGTTCCTACCGACGTTGGCGCTAAAGGTGATATACGGTACTTGTCTGGTATCTTCCCCGGAAAGCACGGCGGCGCTTCCTGTGTTGGGCGGTACAAGTGTAGACGTGCGAGGCATTGTCACCGTCCGCCGGAGCTTCTGATGTAATCGGGGAAACAGACGACGAATCGCATTTGAGACGATGCGCCAGGGGTAAGGGAAACCTCCGAAGTCTTCCGTTCCTCCATGCTGGGTGCCGCGTGCGTCGTTGCGAGTGTGTACCCTGCTTTCGATGCTGTGTGCACGGGGGAATCTGTCTCTTTCCACGAGATGCGGCGACGTCTGCGAGGATGACGGGTGCACACCGGAAGCATACACAATCTTCCCGGCAGGATCAACCAAGTGAGGAGCAACATCCAGCCTACGGACCATCTCTGGGCGCAAAGACCTCGTGGCTTCAGCTTGCCCAGGGTTGCTCTCCTTCCGACAGCTCTGGATCCGATGACGCTGTTCCTGCAGATCGTCTAGTCCATGACCGACCAGTGCGTCGACGATGGCGCGCGACGGACTGGCATGGGAAGCGTGGCTCGCGGTGGTCTCGTGTCGCGTCATTGAACGTTCACGGTCTGCAGCTACGATGTGCTTGAGGTGGTCCAGAAAGTAGGCCCTGTAGGCAATTGTTAAATGCGAGGGTTGAAAGGACAAAGGCAGGACTGACCGACGGAAGTATACGACCACCCACGACACGAACACAAGATTGCCGCATATCTCCAGCAAGACTATGATTGCCTGCTGCCATGGTGTGGTGCTACTCAAGTCGACTGGCGACAGACCGGTGCCGGTGGCAGCGCTGACGCAGACAAAGAGAGCATCGATGAATGGAATCTTGAACTCTCCGTTAGAAGCCCAGAAAACAAGAGCCCCAAGTAGCGGAACGATGACACTAGATATAAAGTCAATGCGCATTCTGAGGATATAGGAGTGGCATCCTTACAACAGGAGGAGATGGATGCGGTAAAATCTCAGAGCCTCCTTGGCGTAGTCCACCATACCGCGGGCGAAGGCAGACATGCGGGGACTGGGTGTTGTGCGCTCCAAATCTGCTAGATTATGACTTCCGGACATCGTGTAGTACAGCTAGCACAGTGCGCAGACCGAGGGGCGTAAGGTCCCGACCTGCCAGTCCCGACTCCCGAGCAATGTAGGTGTACCTGCTGTGCGTCTTGCAGCGTGGTACGTTGCTTAGACCCAGCTTATCGGCATGTCGAGTTGACTGCCTGAACTAGAGCCTGAGACGTAGAGTGGGTGGTAGTTCGAGGGGCGGCGTTGGTAAAAGCAGAGGATATAGCCACACTGGCCACCGTTACGGTAGCAGCGCCGCCGAATTCGGAAGACAGCCTCGGCCGTGTCCCATCAAAAGCGGCAAGCTTGTAGAAATCAGTCAATTTCACAAACATCGAGGCGATTCCACTCTCGTCGCAGTGGCACTGCAAATGCTCTGAGATAATTATTCAGAGGCTTGGCAGCGTTGCAAAGTAGAGAGCGAGCGAGCTCACTTACTGCTTGCCAAACGCTTAGTAACGCCTACCGTTACCCGCTAGTCCGAGGATGAAGGTCTCGCGCCACGCGCCTCAGCCACATCGCGTCTCCGGATATTCCACGGCGCTGTCTAGCTCAATTCTTGCGCAATTGGTTCATAAGGCCCGTTTATTCGTTCCAGGCATCAACACCAGCATAGTGAAGATGTCACCGAGGCGATACACACACAAGAACGCGCGCGAGGCCAATTCCAGAGTCGGAGGCCGTAAGCGCTCGTGCCAGCTGGCGGCGCGGCACACGGCGTTCGAACGAGACGTGTATTGGGAGTTTGAGGCGATCCTGGTGGAACATTCGGATGTTACGAGCTGTGGTCTGCTGCGGTGGTGGTAGAGGTGAGCGGGGTGATATCAAGATTGGGCTTGGCCTACGAGACTGTACTGCATGTGCCTTTGTAGATCCGAGTCATCACAGAAGCTACCAGACCTAGGGAAGTTGGAAGAGGTGGTACTTACCAGTAGGGCATCCGTAGTAGGGTATGTACACAATGAAAAGTGTGGCCTCAATTTAGCTCGATGCGTGCCTCCTCTTCTGTCCACTACTAGTACTAATACCACTTTGGCTGCGGGTGTTGTCACCGAACAAAATAAATTCCATATCCTACAAATAAAATGTTATAGAAGCACGGGCTGCCTACTGTACTGAGTACTGTACCCCAAGGGGCTTCCAGGACTCTAGCGCCCGATATCGACCCCCCCGGGGATAACCCCGGTCAGGTTCCCGGGGTCCCGATAATACAGGGGAGCGAAGTTTTCTGGTCACTTTTCTTCGAAGTCCATTGCAATGGACGTTCTACACTGTCAAAGGTTGTGTAGTAGCATCAGAGTATGTATTAGATTGCACACAACAAAAACCCTGGCTGCCAGAGTCCTCTACGTGGAGAAACAGCTAGCACGACCGTATATGGTAGTGGGTCTGCGTATGTAATAAACGCGTATGTCATAGCAATTCGTAAGACGCGTCGACGCGACTGTACCAACCTCAGGCACGCGCGTCTGTCGCGATGTCCGCTGTGCACCTCCCAGTCTGCAACATATGCAACATGCTCGCGACTACCCTTCTGATGACCTATACCCGCCATCGAGCCCCGTCCAACCTAGTGACCGTCTCCGAATCCTTGCGCGCCAAGTTGGCATGCGGTACGACAGTGTCGAGCCACATAGCGACGACAGTTCAAGTTCTGGAAGTGACGGTGGCTTTGCGGCGGAGACGTTGAGTAACTGTGAGTTCTCCGTTGACTTCAGTTCACTGCCCGGGCTGCTGCCTGCTGCCGAGTTCATGGAATGGGATGGTTCAACTGCTGCGGCCGAGCTGAGTCCGAGTCGTTCAAATGATGATGTCGGGGAGCTGCTCAGCATGACCACTGTGGAAAATGGTGACTGTCCAGTTCATCTAGATGGGAACTCACCCAGAACACACCATGGATATCATACCGTGATTTGTGAGCCCTGCGGGCTACCTGTTCAGGTTACAGACGCGAGTGATTACTTCATGCGGAGGCACCTGCAGGGCCGGCGGCATCGAAACGCGATGGGAAGGCGTCAGGAGGTGCGCGAGAAAGAAGAGGCGGATCACCTACGGAGTTGCATATTCCCTCAGCAAGCCCCCTCAGCAGACACCAGTACGTCAGCGAGCCCGTTGGTTTCGGCCGTAGACGACGACGTTCTCTGTCACGCAGGTTCCGAGGCCCAGTCCGAGGTGATGCCTAGTTGGGTAGAGCCCTCTACTTCTGTAGCGAGCGGCAGTCTAGCCCTCATTCCAGCACCAGCACCGGAGTCATTCTCGAGTCACGGAGATGGAGACGAGACGCACGATTGTGGAGGAATTCCGGTCCAGTGGGATGCTGGGCCTGTCTTGACGACGTTTCCGTGGCACGTCATGGAGGAATGCAAACAGAACCTAGGGTTCCATATTAGCAGTCTGAAGCAGAGCGGTACCGAGCTGTGGTTGCAATCAGATCACTGCGAGGGAACCGTACTTCCCGACGAGGAATCATGCCCACCGTGTGTTTCTGTCCCATCATCGAAGATGTTCCGTGGGTTGGAGGATCGGGCTCGACAACCTTGGACTCCGCATACGCCCTATATGTGGCTGAACCAGAAGCAGTACATTGAAGCACTGGAGACAAAGACGTCAGAGATCAGCGAGCTCCGTTCCAGAGTAAGTGATCGAGTCATTTACATTTATTCTGGGTCTGACTGTAGTATTGTCCAAAAAAGGAACAAGCTGGGGCGAAGAAGCTTGAACGAACGGCCCGGAAACTGAACGACTGGAAGCGTCTTGTGAAGGCGATTGCGACACATGACGTCAAGCAGGTACACTACCTGATTCGTATCGCACTGAAGCAGCGTCGCGGGCCGAAAGCTATCTTAGAGCGGTTCAACAAGGCAGTTGATCATGTCTACCACGCGCGAGGCCATAGCGATGACGACGTCGACCTTGCCTGCTTAATCCAATACTACGCCGGCCGGAATGGGCTGTTCGCAGCTCAGAAGCACCTTGGACTGCCGTCGACTTCATCTCTCTATCGCCTTGCGAGGGCTCCATCCATCCGTCCATCTGCTGGAAAGCCACGTTCAGCCGATTTTGTGCACAACATTCATGCCCACTACCCACCCGGAACTCGCAATCCATCTACGAGATGTGGCTTTTCACTGTCGGCAGATGGGATCGCTGTTGAACGTCGAATGCGTTGGGTGAAGTCGATTGACAGTATGATCGGCGCATGCCGGGAACATTCTGGGGGACTCGACCTGTCAATGTCAACCTTCAACGCTGTCCTTGAGGCTGCGCGTGCTATGGATGGTGACTCACCGACGTGTCACTACGGCACCGATGCAACCGTCTTTGGCATGGCACCGTTTCGTGGCGACAGTTATCACATCGTGCCTATTGGGCTATCAGCATCGTGCAAGGCAGAGAAAGCGGGCGAATTCGGGGACATACTCGACATCTCCATAGGCAGCTGGCAGACCCACGCGGCTGAGGACTGGGGTGACATGTGGACGTTTTCATGTGACGGGGCGACAACATTCCGTGGCGCTTGCTACGACCGATTGATGGTGCGGGAGTTCGATCGCTCGAGCGCACTGTACAGAAAACTATCCCTGCTCAAGGGGCTCAATCTTCGTTGCGGGAAATGGGACGTTGTTCACGCACCAGACCCAAAGCATCTAATCAAGAGTACGTCGTACACAATACCTTCCTTATACATACACTGAACGCTTATCACACAGGAGCTGCAACTCATGTACGGAGCGCAGAGGGATCAGTGCTGAATGGAATTGTCATCAACCGCATCGTGCTCACAAGGTTCCTCCGGATGTTGCCAGACCAGACAAACGCCAGCGTTGATATCTTGGTCGATCCAGCCGACCATCAGAACGTTCCGCGTGCTACAAAGCTTTTACAAGCTGTAGTTGAGCTGTCAGAGCTGGAGCCTACCACGCTCAGTCCAATTGACATGGTTACGTACCGCGCAATCTGCCTTCAGGCTTATCTATGGCGTTCACTCTTGGACCCCTTCATTGATCCCACGCTCTCGCTCTCCGAGCAGCTCACACGCCTCTCCACATTTGCCCACGCAGCATTCATTCTATACCTGAAACATGGATCAGCGTTCATGTCGAACCAACTCTACAGCGATATCCAGGCACTCATCAAGGCAATCTTCGTATGTGTTGCACGACAACAGCTCCTGGACGGTTCGAAGCCCTTCTACATCTATCAGGTCGGGAGCGACAGACTCGAAGAGTTGTTCGCGGAGGTCCGAACACAATCCCACGATCGGAACTGCGACATGGCGCAGCTCGCAGAACGCTTGTCAATATCTGCAAACATAGTTCAGATCTATAACCGGCATCCAGAGTGGAACCGAGGCCAGCGGCGACGCTCGTTCACTGGACGCGAAGGTGTAGACCATGTCAATCCACGCTTCTTCCAGGGTGACATGGTTGTAAAGAACGTACAGTTGGAAACAGTCTGGCACTCTGGCCTAATTGCGGCTGAGAAGACCCTTCACACGCACGGCATCTATGCCAACTTCAACGACAAGCTGTCCCGCCCTGGAGTCGACTTCATGAAGCCCCGGGGTGACACATACCCTGGTGTATCCAGCGATCCTGATCGTTCGGCCGCTGCCAGCACAGGTGTCAACGCCGAGCCACATGCGCCACCAACGTCCAGTCGTGGGCAGCCTACAGGACCATGCGCGCATGAGGATCAGCTAGCCGATCCTGACCTTGTCAATATGGGACTGGGCGACTTACTGTCGAGTCCTGATGCCGACGGCAACATCCAGACCTCGGAGGAAAGAGACACAGACTGGCTCGCTGTACCCAACGAGGATGGAAGCGACCCAAAGGAGCTCCACAAGGCTTCAATTGTCAGCGCCCTCTTCAATCCCGCGGGTGGCCGTCTCTCTGTAGACCGGCTGCGCCGCGTTCGGGGATACCCTCGTGTCTTCCAGTCTGAGCTCGGCAGCGAGGAGCTGTCAGGAGAGGACGTACTGAACGTTGGAGATACAGTCCTTGCTCCTATCCGCTCTCTTGATTCCGTAGCCGCTGGCTTTATTCAAGTCAAGGGCATCGAGCAGAAGGGAAGCCGCGTTGCGCAGGTCACCGAAGCGGACCTCGAGCAGGCGTCAATGGATGTCGTGCTATCGGGGCAAGTCTTGTCCATGTGTCTCGGTGCCGCTTCCACTGGCAGTAACGATAACCCTGCCGCGGCCACTGCTGGTGGCACGTCGATCCCCGGACCTCCACATGAAGCCTCGCAATCTAATCAGCCGGTGCCGGAGTCTGCATCTGAAAAATGGATCTGGACGGGTGAATCGATTCGCTTTCTCCCCGCAAACGCAGGGGCAGCGACACGCACCGCGCAGAAGACGGAAGACGGGACACAGAACGCGCTCATGGTCCAAGTGCCTGGTTCCTTCACTCAGCCTGTCGACCTGGCGATTGCACCAATAACCGTTCTCCCACCCGCGCGGCGCAAGGTACTGTACGAACGCGGCGTGTTACATACATGCACTGCGGATCACAAAGCATTGCAAGAACTCACCGCGACCATGTTCAAAACCATAGACCCAAACGCGCTCCTTCGTCAACTGACCAGATATGGGCCTGCCACGGAGTCAAGACAGTTCCCCTATCTGGATCAACACAGTGAGTAGCCTATCGGCGAAGCAGCTAGTACTAGTACATGGTTACTGAATGAATGTGATCAGGTCGCTCGCCCTTTGCGATTGATGGTGTAATGCGGCTGATCGCGCAGAAGAACGAAAGCGGTGTGACAGGCAACCGGATTCAATGTTACCAATGCGGACGTATCATCGCACCTGAATTATGCCGTACACATGTCAGCGAGCATATTCTTCGCGCGATGCTTGGAGCGGAAGAGCCAAATCTACGAGAACAGGTACGATCCGCTGATCACTTGTGAAATTTTGCGTTTGCTGACATGATAATGCCGCCATCGTTGCGGCATCGCGGTTCTTGCCAGGTTCATCCAGAGTACCCTTGTGGCTTCTGCGGGCGGACGGGATGTGACGTCGGCCTCTCGAAAACAACCTCCTCTTATCAGCCGGTCTCGAATTGCCCACATGCCCACAAGTTCTCTCTCGCATCGGCCAAGAAGCACTCTGCGCGCATGCCGTCAACAAATGTTCCGTTGCAGTGCGACCTGTGCGACGTGAATCCTGCGACGAAACTCAAACCAGTCCTGTGGAAGTACAACATTTTCCGACACATCCAAGACGTGCATCCACAACACTGGAATGCTGACGCTCGCCGCTCACAACACCTCAGTGAAGGGTTCGTCGCATCGATCAATGTCGATCCGCATGAAGTCCCAGCCATCGCTCCGAACGCCCCGCGCACCTATCCCATTCCCGACGCAGAAGCCGAGACACCTTGTCAAGAAAGTTCGGCAACAAGCAAGCGTCCCGGAGAGCCTCATGCCGGAACGCGTTCGAGCAAGCGTGTCAAGTTTTCCTGACTCGTTCGATCACAGTGCTGGCACTGGCTCGTTCAACTCCGTTTCCGTGTATATTATTATTATGTATTGTGTAGACGTATCATACACCAGCTACAGTTTGTCTAATAGAGCGCCGACAGGCTACCACCGTGTTGACACGAAGTCCCATTCCGAACCGTTAGTTCTGTGTGTCTGTCTGGCGACTCGTCACTGTCAGCCTGGTCCTGCCGTCTACTGGGCGCTTGCACTCCTTCGGGCGCTAAGAGTAGGTAGGTTGTGGTCAGGTTTTCGGGGTCATGGCACGCACTTTATGGGGGGTCGATATTCTGAAATCCGACTGATGGAAGCCCCTTGCTGTACCCACGACAAGAGTCCCCAAAATTTGAGAGCACATTGCCAAATCGTGTCCATGAAATGTACTCTGTTGGAAGCATTGAACGCCGTGTGCCGCGCCGCCAGCTGGCACGAGCGCTTACGGCCTCCGACTCTGGAATTGGCCTCGCGCGCGTTCTTGTGTGTGTATCGCCTCGGTGACATCTTCACTATGCTGGTGTTGATGCCTGGAACGAATAAACGGGCCTTATGAACCAATTGCGCAAGAATTGAGCTAGACAGCGCCGTGGAATATCCGGAGACGCGATGTGGCTGAGGCGCGTGGCGCGAGACCTTCATCCTCGGACTAGCGGGTAACGGTAAACGCCGCTTCGAGAGCAACGTTAACACTCACACTGGCAGTGCCCACTCCCAGCAATACGCGTCGACAGTTGGGAAGATCATCAAGCCATGGAAACTTGAATTTCTAGATCTGCTGTCACGGCCGTACTGACTGGTGGGTAGAGCATGAACTACGTACGCGTGTATTGATGACACAGTCATTGTTCTACAGTGTACACACGAAGCAATACGGTGCAGACTCCTTGTCCGAGCGAATTAGCTTCACTCGGTCGCAGAAGTTCTTATTCTGAACCGCCAGTAGACTGGACAACATTGTCGGAAGCTAGGAGCCCTCATGCTGCAACTGTAGACACGTCTGACGGTGTGTCGACGTGAGGTCGTAGTACCCTGGGCCCGGCCATGCCAGTCACCATGCTGGAGTATACATGAAGAAGGTACGGTGCTAGTCTCGGAAGTAGGTTCTACGAAATGGATCAGTACTCACTTGATGCCAGTCACAAATTAAACCTAACTTGAATGGCCATTGCTTCCGATTGGCTTCCGAACCGTACAACTGAATGTACTTGGAATGTACTTGGAATGTACTCAGGGGGGCCACCAAGGTGTTATGTAAAGTGCGTACCATGCTACACAGTGTTCCTGAGTCTGTTCCTCGTCGCGGGTCTGAACGTCTGCCCAGGTCTGCCCGTGCTATCTCAGTCTGAGCCTATCCGTGTCTTTTGTGGCAAGACTGGGCCGCACTGCCGCTCACACCGCTGCTTCGGACTCGCCGGGATCATGCCCTACGTACGGTCCGGGTCCAGGTATACTACAAGCAGGGAAACGATTATGTATCGCTTCAAAACGCAGGGACGTCAGCACTAGTCACTGCCGGGGTTCCGAGCTACGAGACTTGAAGGTATCCAAGTTAGCATGTAGCCCACATGCGAAGTACTTGCAATCATGAGTCCGTTGGGCGGTACGTAGTGGTACGGCTGGCATTGCTACATGCACATTCAGGCTCTGCCAATGATCTCAATCCGCGGTCTCGGGCCAAGGTGACTTGGAGCCCGTGGATATTGCGTGGAAACTGAGGCCCTAGCAAAAGTTCATAGACCGCTACTTATGCCCAGGCTTTTTACTACCGTCTAGCCTCACATTGCCGCATATCCTGATTTGTGGTGCTAGTTGTAGTATCATCACCGTGACATAAATCGAGAACTTCGAATTCGTAGCTACTTACATCTTCAGGAAGACATCCTGTTCCAACTTTCCTGTCCTCGCGTTAATACCACGCGCGGCGAGAGCTCGTTGAACGTTTCCATCCTTTCCTTGCTGCTTTCTTCCTCCCGGTCACCGCGACTTGCTGCAAAGGATATGTTTCGATTATGTCTCGATCACGTACACCGGGTATGTAACTCGGAGCGCCGGCCGCATCAAGCGTCCGCCATCGACTCCGTCATGCCTTGGTCTTGAGGCCTGAGGCCTTGAGGCTTCATGTTACTCGTTTCGCACTTCACCTGAGCCGCTTCGGCGACGTCAATCTTGTTTTCCTCCACCGCCGCAGGTTCAACTGTAACGACAACCTTCCAGGAGGTGAGTAGAGAGACTCCGTCATTTGAAGCCCTCCGAGTCGCTAGTGACTTACAAATCCGACTCAGACATCTTGGTTGCCAGTGGACATGTATTCATGGACTTATTCACGCTGAATGCGGATGTCCTCACTATCATCCTATCCCTGGTAGACCCATATGACGCCTTCCAACTATCCTTGACCTGCCGTGCGGCCCAAGCAATTGCGGTACCACGATTCCTGGAAGCTGTCGTGTTCAAGTTCCCACTTCCGTGGCTCTGCTCCCCTAACGCACGACGATCACCGCTGGCTTATCCTGAGCTTTACGAGTGTTTCCGCACCTACATGTTTGCGCATGGCTCAAACCGACTTCGTCAGCTCAAATCCCTCACTCTTGCCGAAGACGCATTCTGCATCCAGTATGGGTCTCAGCATCTGGAGCCGCCACGTTACACATTTACGCTCGCAGCACCGCTCGCTGACGTTGTTCGCTATGCAGTCGAGTTGCGAAAAATCCGCATCGACCACTCGGAAGCCATATTCGATGCTGCGCCGCAGCTCGCCGATGCCATAGCAAACCTTCCGCAGCTCCAAGAGATCTGCTTCTTCGGTGCCGACGTGTCCACCCTAGAACTGCTGTCAAGGACGCAAAGCCGTCCGCGCAAAGTCGAGCTTCGCATCATCGAATACAGCAATACGATTGAGACCTGGTGGGGCCAGTATGTCCGCGGAGGCAATCGATTCCTGAGCAACTTCACCGAGTCGTTGGAGGTCCTTAGTCTATGCGGAGGCCTGGACATCATTGAGGAGCTCGAGCCGGGCACGGTCTGGCCCGCTGTGGTGGAACTCAGACTCGCGCGCGGCCCTACGGCGAATCTGCAGGCCATGTCCTGCGCGTTTCCGAATCTACGTCGTCTGCACCTTGAATGCCCGCCTGCGGCCATTGTGGCTCCCATTGACCAGTGGCGAGCGCTCGACTTCGTCTTCACGACACATCCTCTCCCTCTTCAGTATCCGGTCCGACACCTGAAGATGAACTGGTTTTCGCTCGGACCATACGTTCCCACTCCACAGCATCAGGCCCTAGTCGACAGTACGACCGTCATGTTACGAAACACCCAGCCAATCGTACTCGAGTGTAGTGCCTGCAAAAGCACGTATTCCTGCATAGCTCGCAACGCGCCCTCGGTTCGATTCCTGAGGATCACCGGGGCACCCTCGCGGCATCACACAGAAAAGGAGCGACAGCTGACGAATGACAGGGCTGATGCTTTGCTGGTGAGTACCAGGCTGCCGTTTACACTGTACATTGTAGTCTGAACTATCTGATTAGACATACGATTTCTCGCTATTGAAGGCACTGCCTCTCAAAGGGATCGCTATCGTTCTCCAAAGGCACCGACCGTGGCGAGAAATCGCACACTGGGAGCAATATGCCCACGTCATCGCTACCTGTATACCAACACTGGAATATGTTGGCTTGCGCCAGAAGGCGAAAGCGTGGGCGCCCGTAGACCAATGGGATGGGCCCGAGCCGTACGTGTGGTATCATGTTGCCGAGCGTTCAGGACGAATTGAACCGGTCGTAGAGCGTATGTCAGACGTAGAAGGAGAGGTAGTTCATTCCACGCTTCTTGGTACTATGTCTCAGATATCTCGGCCTCGGGGTGGTCGCGCTGGACAGCCTAATGTCCAACAATGCTAGCCCTTACTCCATGACTACTCTTCGTCGCTTCGAACGTCCGGAATAGTTATTGTACTCATGCCGTTTCCTGATAGGTGGCTATGTTTATATGGCACCCACGAAGCGATAGATTCTTAATAGAACCGGAGGTTCCGGAAGGTGTCAAGGCGCAAGTGAACTGGTCCTACGTCTTCACGTCTCGCCAGCGCACGCTCTGAGTAGCCCAGAGAGCTATGCTGTCACGGCTCGTGCGTACTAGCGTTCTGCTGCAATGATTGCATGTTCACTGTCTATAGTACACGCTTCCGATATCACTACATACGCATTGAGTCACGACCCCGACTCCGAGTCGGAACTGTCTAAACCGCTGCGTCGATTAGTACCTCCCGTCCAATTGTCCCAGCGGACAGTCCTAAGGTTCTCGTTAAACCACTCCTTGTCTCCCGAATCCAGCTTGCAGCAGCCATATACATCGAGATTAGTAATCGAATGAACCACAAACTCCGGGTCACTGTCCTCTGCATAGCCTGTCGCTGCGTGCGCGAAGCGTCGTTCCTCGACCAATTTGCGTAGGTGCGAGCTACTGAATCGCGTGCATCCTTTGATGATGAGGGACTTGACTTTCGGACAGAGCCAGAGCTCTCCGACCCGCCAAGGATTAGCAAGAATGAGCAGAAGCATGGGGAGGAGGCCGTCACAATCCGTGAACGATAGCACCTCGCTCGAAGGCACTGGCGCGAGGAAGTTTTTCAACGAGATCGGGCTCTCTATCTCGTTCAGATCGATCCAGTACGAGTCGCAGAGCTCGACCGGGTTCTCCAAGGAGCAACGCGTGTACGACATCATCTCCGTGAAGGAATAGTCGAGCAGACGATCGTACTCCGCAATTGCATCGCCGGGGAGGTCCACAAAGGAGCATTGTGGGCCCCATATTAATTGATTCGGCCGGGGGACAGGTGGTCCCGTGTAAGACAGATCGAGTGCGAGGCCAGCAAGCTCGATGTCATTCAATTCCTCGCAGCTCACGAGACATGTGAGTAGGTCGACCAAAGGGAATGCGGGATGGTGGTCGCCATACCCTAAGATCTTGATTTCGCCGAGTGAGGCAGGCATCGGGTATCGAGGAAACGGCTTCACGTAGGATTCGCGGAAGTGCAGGCCACTCGTGCGAAGTACGTCTAGCTGAGGTGTGTGAAATTCCCCGATAACCGAGTCGGCGGCCTCAGCAACAACGGAGTCATCGACGGAGAACAGTTGTTCGAGCTCGATGAGGTTGTCTGCGTGGCCTACGAGGTCAATGCGGGGGCGCGGAAGCGAGCTGGAGTGGAGGACGTTCATATAGAGGGCCTGCCAGCGCTGCATGTGAGGGACGAGTAGCTCCATGATCGCGTCGACTTGAGCCTTTTCTGTCGCGGACGAGTGCATGTCCGACAGCACATAGATATCGAGGAGACGGTCCCGCGACCACGCAAGGAAATCGCATATATCGGGGAGCGGTGTGCCCTTCTGGCCAATCCAAATGACCAGGCGGATCCAGAAGGAGGACGTCGTCGACATGACCTCCCGCCAGTGGCGGCACACAGAGGCGATCGACTCTGGGAAGGGGTATTTCCGCGCTCGGTTCTTGTACGACGGCGGCAGGCGACTGTTACTCTGGCCAACTGTGGGAAACCTCCATTCTAGAGCCTCCTGGGCAGCGCGCCGTAGTTCGTGGAAGATAAGCAGAAGAACATCCGGCGGTAGTTTGTTGATGGTTGCACAGCGCGTGCGGTCGAAGGAAACACGGGCAGCACTGATACCTTCGGTGACATTGCCATTGATCATGGCTGTCCGCACTACGTGACCACTTTAACTTTGTTATTAGATTTGCGAAACGGCGGGAGGATTGACATACCGTAGCGTATATCACGGAGAACAGTATAGGTGCGTAGGGTTATAGGACGATCAATACTTGGAACGTGATGTCTCAACACCCCTGTAGTTGAGCAAGATCCCACCAGATCGCAGCAAGCTACACAAGCAGACGACAAGGAGGGGAGACCAGGAATTGCTTGCAAGGTGTGAAGCTCGAAGGCGGAAGCGTTGCATGCCCACCATGGCCTGGCGGCCTTTAAGGAACATAGGACAAAGGATATGAACGGCACCGCAGGAGCACATGGTTGCCACTCCGATGTCATTCCGAGTAGCGTGGCAGGACAAAGGAAAGGGGGCTGGAATATGACAAGGCAATAGAAACCAAGCCCAAGCCCAACATATGTATGAGGCGAACAATGGTAAGCCTCTGCCCTCCTTGAACAGAAACGTGGGGTACTAGGCTGAGGGATGTCTTTGCATGTAGCGTACCCTGCTACGATGGCAGGCCGCAGCATGCGACCTCCGGGAGGGCGCTGTCAGTTAGCCGATGAAAGAACATGGGCTTGAAGACCTGCTTCGAAGCAGAGATAACTCTGGTCTCTAAGTAGCATGCATCGATACAGTTCAGTACTCACGTTACTGTCAGACCTCAAGTACTGAATGTCAAGGTACTCTCGCGTATCTTCAGCTTCACGCTACGGTCGCCGACCCACTCAAAACGAATATTGTCCAAGGTAGCCGTTAACGACATTCGCGCTGGAGTAATGTGTGAATTGTCTGATTTCTTCCTATGAGACGCACACTCGCCTTCATCTCCGACGTTGAAGCTCAGGTTCTTGAATGGCTCAGAGCCAGCGTGCCCCTGGCGCGGTGGTGCCCCGGGCATAAAGAAGCTCGTGAAGCTCGCACCGACCTTCCACACGAGTACGGACGATTCTTCGAGCGAGACTGTCACCAAACGTCTACCGTCAGGAGAGAAACTGCACGCTGTCGTGCGCTTCTTGTGTCCCTCTAGAACGTAGAGCCGTGTGGCAGTCTTCAGATCGTACATCACGACTGCGCCTTCGGACGTCCCGACTGCGAGCCGCTGAGTGGCCATGTGGAAATCCACCGTCGGGAAGCTGGAAGGATGTGAGCTTCAAGGTGGCTTGTAGCGACGGATATCAGACTTACGTCCGTACAAACTGGCCGAGGATCTCTGCTGCAAAGTCCAGGACTGCATCTCGGTTTGCGGTTGAGTTGGGATCCAAGGACTTGACCACAGCTTCGACTAGACGAGGCAGGTTGCTATACAGCACGAGTGGTTTCTGTGAGGGATGAGTTTTCCCCCGCTCCATAGGGCTGTACAACAACACATACCTTGCGGATGATGAAAATGACAAGCTGCATCACCGACTTGCGGTGCTGCACACTGCGTGGCTGCAGGATGTCGATAGTCAACGTAGTCATGAACAACGGCGTATTGCTTGATGCGATGTTGAGCACAGCCGAGCGCGCCTGGGTCCCGACGTTATGCAGCGAAATCGCCTCCTTCTTCGCGCTTGTTGCGAGGAGGAACAGCGCGCGGAGCATCTCGACTGCATCTGTGTGCTGCTGCCAGACTTGGAACCCGCGTGAGCAGAGATCGATGGCGAGTGCCCGGTAGGGAGAGGCTTCATCGTGAAGGTAGACATCGATCGACTTGGCGATGTCTGTGAGGGCACTGTGAACAGTTGAGCGTAGCCTGTGCGGGCGACAACTGGGCTACCTACCTCGTGAAGAGAAGGGCATACTTCTCGATTGCTATCGAGCCACATATATGCAAGGCCATCGCACAACGAAGACGATCTCTGGTCCCTTCATCTTGTACGCTAGGAACTAATGAGGCAGCAAGTCGGTCACGCGCGACAACCAGTGTGTTCACGTCAACTCACGATACGGCTGCCAATATTCGATTGTCTCGGCGGTCTCCAAGTCTGACATCCTAGCGATGCCAGCGTCCAGCAAGAGTCTCGAAGCACTCCTGACCTCGTTCACTGCATCACGACTGAGCGCAATGGTAGCCATTTGCGTTGAACGGACGCACCGGTAGACTGCAACCAATATCTCGCCAGGACACGCAGGCTAGGCGGCTTGTATGACGTTCCGAGTGCTTCAGGTAATGAGGCAGCGTAGAAGGTCATTATCGTGTTTGTATCCGCCACAAGCTCTGAATGAGTTGAGTGAGACAGAGTGCCATGGAGGACAATGAGCTTGCGCACCTTCGTGAAGCAGTAGCGTCTGCAGCACCGCAACCAATGCCAAAGCGCGGAATGCAGACACCTCGGAAGACACCGACCAGGCCGAGCCTTGCTCTGAGTACAACGACAGTGCATGGCCGCTGAATCATCGCATCAGTGACCGCGTTGCGTGCAAGGAACACTTCACTCACGCGAAGAGGCCGACAGAGGCACTAGATCGCTCGATATGTAGCTTGTCTCGACATATGCTGTCGATCTCCTTGTTCAGCCCAAACGTCATCAATGCAGACAGGAAGGCTCTCGTGAAATCCAGGCTGAGGTGTGGAGCCTTCTCGGAGGAGCCTCCTTCAGCGAGGGTAGGGGAAGTCTGCCGGATTGCAGCTTCGACATCAAGCAGGATTGTGCATCCTACGCGGGTATGTCGAAGATCAGCCGGTGGTGCTCAGAGTGAGATACATGAGACGAACCGGAGTCGGCTCCTACGGAGGCGTATGGCGGGGAGATGATGGCCCTGCCAAACGATGCCCCATTGCCGACCAGCCTAGATGACATATTCGTTCAATCAATTTCATCGAAGAATGCAATGGAACAGCGCACCAGCTCGTCCACCCTCCCTGCCTCAGCATCTCATCAGTCCTGTCCGCGTTCATAGACCTCCAGAACTCCTGCGTCTTCGAGTCCCATAGTCTCGCGCGACCGTCGCAGTACAGAAGTATTAGGTTGTTGCCCCCGATGTGTATCTGCTTCAAAGGAGCAGAGGAGGTCGGAACCAGGAAAACGCTGTGCGCAAGTCATCAGTCCAGGGGGACACGCTCTTCAAATATAGATCGCGTACAACTGGTAGCCATCAACGGCGATGACCGCGATCGTACCGTCTTGCGAGATACACAGGGCACAGCTCTTCAGTCTGCCAATGGCGTCACCCTTCAGATGGATGACCTCGGCAAGCGGCGAGGTGAAGATGGTCCACCGAGCGCGCAACGACAGAGACCTGTAGTGACAGCACTTTAGTAGGCGGCACATAACCTGGAGTCCTCACTTACTGTAGATCCCATATGGCTATTGAGCCATCGTCGGTGCCTCCTATCACCAATCTCTCCTTCGTGCGCTCGTTGTCCACGAGGTGGAGGCTGACGATCTCGCCTTGGAGCGGTACTTTTGAGAGCTGTGTGTACCGTCCGGTCCCTTTGCGGGGTAACCCGAGGAACGACGAGCGCCGTAGCCGACCGTCACCTAAAAACGCGTTGCGAAACCGATTCCGTTCAGTTAATCGACACCTATACAGAAAACATTGCAACTTACTGCATCCCAGAATACTGATACCCGGTTCGACAGGAAGCGTACACGTTATCCGTAACGCAGACGACAGAGCGTCCGTGTCACTCCTCGCTTTCCACACCTGACGAGAGGTTGCGCCGAAACTCTCGCCGTCGAGGCACGCCTGCTCAAGCCTCCGTTTTCCCTTCTTCACTTCCGTAGCGAATACATCGCCTGTCGAAGTGATGGCGGAGAATTCGCTGATCAGCGGCATCGTGCGTACGAGCTCGAATCTTCGTAAATTTACCAGTGAGTGCGCCTTTGAGGACATCGCAATGAAATGGGTGCGTACCTCAAGACTGGCTTGGTTGAGCTTTCCCCTTTGTCTGTGACGATGTCATTGTTCGCATCCACCTTCACAACGTTATGGATCTCGGCGCGGTCCTTTGACAGCAAAAGATTAGGAGATGCTCATCCATGGGAAGAGCACAGGTACCATGAACAAGATGGTGAGAGACTCCGCAGCCGTCCAATCGATATCCCTGACGCCCTCGAAGGCTTGGACAAAGAGAGGCGCATACACTCCTTCGCGCCAATCGAATACCTACGAGAGCATCAGGTTTCGTGCCGCACGCATTCCTATCCGTAGTGCGTACCACCAACTCAGAATCCGACCAGCACCCGACGCGGACTTTGTCCCCATCAGAGAAGGACCGCATACCGAGGAGTGCCCCTTTCAGCGACACCAAGCCGAGTTCGACAGGGTCCCCCATGCGAATGAGCGAGTTGTCGCGGTTGTCCGTGTCCTCTACGCGCTCTTTGGACAGGATCTTCAGAGCATCCTTGAATGTCTTCGGGAGGGGTAGCGCAGTCCTTGAACCGGTGTCTTTCTTGTCACTCTCGGACGCCGCAACGTTCTCCGCGATCTTGAGGGATCGTACAGTCAACTGTCGGGTTGAGGAGACATTGAATACAGCGAGGGAGCCTGTTGAGTTGCATCAGAGACTGGTCGCGGTCTTTCTGCATACGACTTTACCATCAGGTCTCTGGTGTAGCCCCACGCCTTCAGCCGTCCCGTCGATGCACCAGTCTCCCAGCTTCACCAAATTCATCTCGCGCCCGTCGCTATGCGGCCCAGGCTCGATAGCAAATGCTATGAGCCGCGTATGCTCTTCATGTTCGTCGTCGAGCCCATCTGACATCTGGTTGATCCCGCTCGCCTCGTCGCTCGACGCGCATGCAACAATTATATTGGACTGTAGGTACAACAGGAGGTTCAGACGACATGCATTGGTCCATCCCAGCGGACTCGCGCACCTCTCCGAGTACACCTAGCTGAAGGCTTTTCCAGACCCACAGCGCAGGCGCGGGTCTCCGAGTTTTGGTGCCGTCTTGTGGCGAGTGCTCGCTGTCTACCGCGGCGGTGACGACACAGGATCCGTCACAGGTAGCATGGATGGAGACGTTGCTGTAGAGGAGAGACATAAGATACACCAGAGCGGGTTCGCGAAGCGTCCTCACCCTGCTTCTTGGAGACATATGAGGTATCGACCCGAGTCATAAAGCTTCAACGCCCTGATTGCATGTAGATAGCCGTACTTCTGTGGGAACACATGACACGTCAAGGAGAGGGTGCTTGAGGCCACGGGCGACTCGGAAGGGGAGATCGGAGTGATTGAAGGGGACGGTGGAGGAAGACCTGAAGTCGACTTGGTGGACGGTGCTGGCGACAGTGCTCGTAGTCTAGGACTCCGCGTATTGCTGCCCTTCTCCACGTTGCTCCCTCTGTCCGTGTTCGGAGAAAGCATATCGCTTGTTGTCCTCTCCTTGACGCCTTTCCCCTTCAGCATGTCCTTCATCCTCTCCGTCTCCTCGTCGAAGTCGACATAGTTCTTCGGTGCCTCCGCCTGTTCGGTCGTCACGGACGACACTGCGCGAGTCCGGGGGACCTGGAACGGTGATAGAGCCGACCTTGTAGATGACGGAGACCCTGATCGCGAGGTCGAGAGGCCGAGCCCGCCATAGCGAAGCGGACTTGTGGGTCGCGAACTATTTGAGACCCGAGGAGGGCGGCTTGAGGAAGATTCGATGGAACTTCGCCTCCGCGACACTTGCGGCGGCGGGACAGATGGATGGAAGATATAGAATGTCCCGTCTTCACAGCCAAGTGCCAGACCGAACGAACGGTTCGAGCCTTCGGAAGGAGGTGATGGACGTCCCCATGATTCTAGACACGATGGCACAGCAAGGGAGCAGCTCCAGTCCAAACAATCGGGTTCTCCATCCGTAGGTTTTGTATCGAGAAGCGGAGAGAAGTTCAGAGGGACCGTCAGAGGGTTCGTGCTCATGTTTCTTGCCGATGTTCAAGGCACTACTAGCTGAGCAATGTTAGACGGTAGACTTATCGCAGAGATTATGTGCGAGGTCAAAAGAGCGTGTCGGCGAGTATCCGTCTACTCGATAGCCTCGCACAGATGAACGAGCCTAGTCACAGCAAGTAAGTGAAGTACAGAGAGTATACGTAGCGGTCACGTACTTCCTATCAACAAGTAGCAGCGAATGACGCGGTACCGGGTACACGGCTACTGCCCTACCAAACCAGGACTGATCGTCTCCAAACATTCCACTTTGGGACTGCAGGGAGACCTTTGATCGGACCTACTACTTAAGCGCTAAGCGCTAAGCAGCGGCAACTTGAAGAAGCTCACCCAGAGCAGCGCTCACCCATGCTGGTCGATATGCGACTTAGATGCCACGTACCGGAGAACATTACTTTGCGCTTATCGTTGCCAACATCTCTTCATAGTCACCGACTGAGACATCGACCACGGCAACCACCAGGTGTGCGGTCACCGTCTGGCAAGTGCTTCTTCGAGCCTTCTCGGGGTTCGTGCTTATACCCCAATGGAATCCAGATGGAATGAAATTAAGTACCTCCAGTGCTTCTCGACGGCTCGACCGCCGGTCTGAGCCAAGTCTGAAGCTGATCTCTGGTACGTTGACAACTTGTCAGAGTCGATCATAAATCTGATTTACTCAGGCTCCCGCTGATCGTGTGCTCATCTACCGCATCCACACTGGGTCATGACGGGGCTCGCCGCCCATTAGGCCTTATAGCGGCCTTGAACGCCCCTCAGTGCGATGCCGGGCATCTTCGCCCTGAAGTATGATTCTACGTCGATCAGCAATGTTGCAGACGTGTGGCTTCGTTGCTTGTGCTTTGTTCGGACGCCGGACCCGCTGCGTCTAACAGACCGCCTTATGCAAGACCGCGCTCTTCGATGCTTCGCAGGCGCGGAGCGCAATGCGTTCGATGACACATAGCCATGCTTCTGTGGATTGTCTGTTACAATCTGCAGGCCTGCGTTGACATTAGCTCCACCCCCAGAGGGCTGAGCGCGCGAAGTTCTACCTTCTACTGCAGGTCTTAACTCACCGTTTGCTTCATGAGCAAGGTCACGTTTGTGCCAAAGCCATGAAGTCGGGTCGTCCTTTACAGCATGACCTCAACAGGGTCAGCGGGTGCAACTTCCCCGAAGAGTCGGACGACTCTTCCAATCCTACTGATATCTGCAAATCCCGTTATGGATGCATTCCAGACGTTGGTCAAGGCCAAGCCTTTCACATTGCCCAGGGTATGCTGTGTCTTCCTCCACGCAGCGGTGGTCGGCATATGTATTCCTCGCAGCAACTGGCGTCGCTTCGCTTCCCCGCTCTAATCCCGCACGCAAGCGAATGGGCATGAAAATACAGCAGGTGAGCGGCGCAGGCGGCTCACATTGCGCCCTCCCCGCCCCTTTCAATTGCAGGAGCGCGAAGTCAGCCGGACCTCCAGATATGGCGATCATGCAGCGCACCACCTCGTCGGCTACAGTCTCGGCGTCGGCCATCGCGACGTCGGCGACGTCGAGCGGGAGGTCCCCTCCCGTCGCGATGAGCACCGTCACCGGCTTAATCCTCGGAGTTAGTAAGTGTGCTTGTCGGTGACCATGGGTCCCTGCTCGGGTGCTAACAACACGTTGTTGTGCTAGTGTGCTTGTTCCTGTTGGTGATCAGCTATCAGCTCATACCTTGCTTCCACCGCCGCAAGGCAGCTCCATCACCGTCGTACCGCACCCGTGTCCTGGTCGCACCTCCCACGGACCGCGACCGCTCCGCCATCCGTCGAGTTATCGACAAGATCCTCACGTTCCTTAAACGCTTCGTGCCTCGCAGGTCTTCTGGACCGGACGACACGCAGAAGCCAAAACCTCCACGCTCGTTCAAACTACCCTCGCAAGATAAGCCCGATCGGCAGCACATCCGCGAGAAGTTCGCAACCCAGTTGCGACTCAAACTCAATATCCCGCCCGCGGCAGACGTCCTTTCGCCCCGGAGTCCCCGCACGCCTCGCACGCCGAAGGGCCGCAAGCGCTATGCCGTCCTCGACGATAGTGCGTTCACCGAGTGGGACAAGGCCACCCTCGCACACATGGAGAAACCACCCACCGCGTTCCTCTCTCCCTGGTCCCCGCGCGAGCAGGACTTCCCATACGCCTGTTCCCCCACCCCGTCGCGCCGAGTCGTGTTTGACTACGGGCCGTGCACACCGCCGCCCCCGTTCTCGCCCCCTCCTGCCTACGTACCCGGGACGCCGATCCGGGGAGGCTTCAGCAGCCCCTCTGTGCGAAGCTTCTTGTCCCTGTCCCCGAGCACACGATCGCCCAGCAGTCGACGGCCGTCGCTACCGACTGAGGACCCGTTCGCGGATAACCGCCCGTCGTCGATGCTCAGCGTTGATCCCTTCGCGGCTAGGTCGCCGTTATCATCCCCGACCAGCCCATCCTTCTCTGTTCCCTACGATGACCCATTCGCAGACAGACAGCCATCAACGTTCGTCGAAACCAACTCGGGCCCGGCGGGCGTCGCGGTGAAAGATCCGATCAACCTCTCCGAAATCGTCGTCGTACAGTCCGCGCCCGAAACACTTGTCGCACCAACACCGACGCAGGCTACATTTTCTGGCCGAGCTGCGTCGCCAAGCGCGTTTGTGATCTCAGACGAGACGGACTCCCTAAGCAATAGATCCAGTCTTTCTAGCACCTGGTCCACGCTCACTCTTGAACAGCCTATGTAAGGGAGCCGCGTTAGGCTGGCTCCCGCTGTAGCAGTAGAGGCGATGTACTGTTGTACTAGATATCGGACAGAATAACCAATGTACTTATGTAGCTTTGCCGAATCCGAAAGTATGCGGTGACACTTCCAGCCTGCTCTTGAGGAGGACGCTGCAGTGACACGTGACGTATGTGCTCGACGCGACGCGCGAAGACGCGAACGTGGCACCGCGCTCTAAGCTCTTCACCCACCTAACCATCATCTCCACGACTCTCCTGGCCCGCTCGTCGCTGCGGGAACCTTGTCAACTAGCATGAATCTGCTGGCCGTAGCGGCCGGCCTCGTCTGGCTAGCGCTGTACTCCGTATTTACAGCAATCCGCCGCATACGACTCGAGAACGCAAACCACAAGCGGGCGATCCTCGATGAGCTGAAGACGCCCGACCCGCACAAGAGGAAGTTTGTTGGATTCTTCCACCCCTACTGGTAACGCATACAGTCGCCTTCCTCGCAATAGTTCTCTGATTTACATAGGCCTCGTATGAAGCAACGCAGGGGGAGGCGGAGAGCGCGTGCTCTGGACGGCAATTGCGATGTTGCAGCGTGACGAGCCGGAGGTCATCAGTATTGTCTACAGTGGTGACACCGACGCGACTAAGGAGCAGATATTGAGCAAAGTGAAGGTGCGTCTTGTCTGGCTGGGAGGGTGGTGAAGACGTTCACACAGTCAATGATAGGCACGGTTTGACATCGACCTGTCCCCGCAAACACTTCACTTCGTCTTCCTCAACTCGAGACATCTCGTCGAGGACTCTGCATGGCCTCGCTTCACGCTCCTTGGCCAAAGCCTCGGCTCTATATATCTGGCATGGGAGGCTATGTCCAAGCTCATACCAGACCTATTCATTGGTGCGGTCAATGTTCTTGTCCACTCGTCATCGTCATCATGAACATGATTTGTCGCTTAGATACCATGGGCTATGCCTTCACCTTCCATGTGGTAAGGCTCCTGGGCCAGGTTCCTGTGGGCGCATATGTCCACTACCCGACCATTAGCACCGATATGCTGGAAAGGGTGAGATCGCGAAAGAAATGGCACACGAACTCGAATGCGATATCCTCGTCGGGTGTCCTCAGCAAAGGAAAGCTTCTGTAAGTCTCGGCTCAGCCTTGATTTACAACCTCCAGCGGCCCGTCTGCGATTTCGTGACAGGCTGAAGTCCCCGGCATTGCTTTGGGGGTGCATGCTGACGAAGTTGCAGGTATTACCGCCTCTTCATGTACTACTACGCAAACTCGCTTCGTCAAGCAAGCTTCCTCATGGTCAACTCCTCCTGGACAAAGAACCACGTGGATTCCATTCTGCAATACACCGACCCGCTACTCGACGCCCTGCATTTGTGCACCCCGCTAGTCTTCCTTCGTCTCCTTCGACCCTCCCAAACACCGAAGTCCGCTCGTATCGTATGCCCGCCTTGTGATACGCGGGAGATGGCGAAGTTCCCGCTGGAGGGGCGAGAGCGAGTGATTCTCAGCGTCGCGCAGTTCCGGTGGGTATATGCGCTATACCCCGATTTTTGGATGACGACGCTCATCGCATGAACTAGTCCTGAAAAGGATCATGCCGCGCAGCTGCATGCCTTCCATAGTGTTCTGACTTCCTATCCCGAGTACGGCAATGGAAACCCCGGTGATTCGCAGGTTCGATTGGTGCTGGTCGGAGGGAGTCGCAACGCCGAGGATGCCGCGCGAGTCGAAGGGCTTCGAGCATTAGCCAAGGAACTCGGGATTGCGGTAAAGCTCAGTGGCTTTGCATCGTTCACTTGCTGACGTGCGGACGATGCCAGGACCACGTAGAGTTCGTCATCAATGCTTCATTCCCTGCTATGCTCAACTGGCTCTCGCGAGCTAGTATTGGGCTGAGCACCATGGTCGATGAGCATTTTGGCATTAACATCGTGGAGTTCATGGTGTGTTCGGGAGCATCCTGCAAATTACATGGACGTCTGACATAATTACTCACCAGGCGGCCGGTGTCATTCCTGTCACCCACGCATCTGGGGGCCCGCTGAACGACATCGTCGTGCCGTTCGACGGCAAGCCTACTGGTACGCATTAACTCCTCATATTTCTCCCCGTGTGTAATGACCCTGTCCGCTCTCCTGACAGGCTACCACGCCACTTCTCCCGAGACCTTCGCGGAGGCCTTCCATAACGTGCTGACTCTCCCGCCAGAGGAAGACTTGGCGCTGCGGGAACGGGCCAGGACGTGGGCCGTGCAACGCTTCTCTGAGGAAGAGTTCGAGAAGGGATGGAACGAGAGCGGGTGGAGGAGATGGCTGCCGTCGTAAGTTCAGTCCACCGGGGGTCGTCAGACCCACCGAGCCTGTAGTGTACAGTAAACCAACGCTAATGATGCTCTCCCGCTGACACCGTGCACGGACTGCACGAGGGCCCTGGGGCGCCTTTTCCCGAAATTCACATATACATTCCTCTGTTCGGTGAGTTCTCGATGCGTTATTTGTCTATGAATACAGTCCTAGCTTGTACAGGCCTCAGAGCGCTCCGACATTGGCCTCTCCGTCTCGCGTTTAAGATACTATTCAACGTTCAGTCCTTCACAAGGACCTTCTCCCACTTGCCTCGGATCTCCTCCAGATTCGAGAAGCCGCTGAGTCCGAGCGACGTCTCGGTGTCCGCGAGGAGCGACTTGATCTGGTGCTCGACGCCCTCCTCGCCGGCAAGAGTCAAGGCGTACATGTATGGGCGGCCGTCTAGTCCCCGCATTATCAAGTCAGCAAACCTGTGGATCCCTTCCGAAGATGGACGAGCGGCACGTACAAAGCACTGCATCGGCACCGAGGGCGATCGCCTTGATCACGTCACTGCCGGTGCGGATGCCCGAGTCCATGAGCACGGTGAATTTGCCCGCCGCCTGCGCGTCCCGGACCTTCTGGCTCTGCATGATCGCATGCAGAGCGTAGAGGGTTGAGACCGATCCATCTACCTGACGACCACCTGGGAGAGTCGTTCAGCTTCTATGTGGTGCTCAGACGGGAGCAGGTCGACACACCGTGGTTGGACACAACAATACCATCAACTCCGTGGTCGATGGCGAGCTCGGCGTCCTATGGGCTAGTGGTCACAACAACCCCAAGTCTTCGAACATGACCGGGCTTACCTCCGCGCACAAGACCCCCTTCAGCACGACGGGGCCGTCCCAGTGTTGCCGGATGAACGGCAAGTGCTGCCATGTCCTGAACCAGCCCGAGGTGACCTCCGTGATCCAAGCTTGGCCCAGCTCGGCGGTCCGCTGCGCCTTCGCATCGCCGCTCAGTATGCGCTCGTCGACCTTGTCCGGGTCGTACGGGAACTCCGGGTGGCTGTCCAGTGGGAGCGGTTCCTCCCCGTGGCGCGCCATGAATGCCGGGTCCGTGAACCCGATGTGGCACCCGACGCCCTGGAGGAAGGGCAGGTAGGAGGTCTGGATATCGTGCGGGCGCCACCCGAGGAGCATGGTGTCAAGCGTGATGACGAGGGTGCTGAAACCTGAGGCCTTGATACGGTTAAGCAGGGAGATCGTCACATCGTCGTGCCGAGGCCTACGGAACGCCGGTAAGAGTGTTTCATGCTTAAGCTGACAGGACGTACCAGTAGAGCTGGTACCACCGGTGGCCATTGGGTCCGTTTGCCTTTGCGACCGCCTCGATGGAGCGGGTCGACGCAGTACTCATGATGTAGGGCACACCAAGTTTCCCGGCAGCACCTGAACTCGCGACCTCGCCATCGGGATGTACGATGCCCTGGACGCCGATGGGTGCGAGAAGCACCGGCGAGGGATACTTCACACCGAAGAGGGTCGTCTTGAAGCGCGCGCTCAGCTTCGCGATACGATAGCCAAATCGCAGTGAGCGCATACCTCCAAGTTGCGGTTCGACGCGTCGGTCATCACCCGCGGGACGATCTTCCATTTACCGAACTCCTTGATGTTGTCTTCGTGCGTCGAGCAGGTTCCCGCGCTGCCGTACACGTACAGATACGCATCTGTGGACGACGACGTTGCGATCGGCAGGAGATCGTCGGTCAGCGTGTCTCGCATCACATCCACAGGATCTGTTCCTCACCAAGGCGGCCCTTGAGCTTTTCACGTGCAGCCTCCTCCAGCCTGTTGGTGTAGACGGTACCGACCGCGCCGAGTGGCGGCTTGCCACGCCGTGTGTACAGTGCCTTCACGTATGACGACCAGGTCGTGGACGGCGAACCATCCGGGTTCGGAAGACTGGCGGAGGAAGACATGGTGTGGGGAGGATTGCGACTTGAGGCGTGAGTGCAGTGACAGTCGGAGGAGACGAGTCCGATGCTGGATGTTGCAGGCTCGGCTCGCACTCTTATAGCATGTAGGTGTCTGATTGAAGGAGGGCCGGGTTCCGCCAAAGCTACCACTCAGATCGGATGGTAAGGTTCATCGTCAATCTTGACATACCCTGGGTAAGCCCGAGGCAATGGGAACGCCTTGGGAACGCTGGTGCAGAAGCCTCGTCCGGATCACAAGCGTCTCTGCAATCCCGCTCGCGGCGGCAGTCAACTTTCCTGCTCGACGCGTCGTGTACATATCAACGCGCACCACTCGAATCAGAGTCGGCGGCAGGTAGGTACACCGTCTTTGTGGCTGCTCTGATAAAGTGCAGAACCACCATCTGACCTTGGTAGCACGCATGCATTGCAGCCACGAGAAACCCACATGACCGCGCCAGAGCCCCAAGCAGGTATGCGGATATTGTGGGATGATCGGCCAAGAAGTCAGCGGTATGTCAATGTGCGCACGCCGCGCGCGTTTGTGAGCTGCGACACCACTCGGGCCTGTGATTCTGGGTCAAGTGGACACCTTCCTGTAGGGGCTTCGGATTCCGTACCATCGGCAGTAGCAACGTCGTCCGCGTCTCATACTGAATACGAGCAAGGTTGGGCGCGCAATGGCAGTAAGTCCAGACACACCTAGCTGAATCGCGAAAAGCCTTGAGCACCGGGTTGACATCGCTGGCCGCATTATCCTCGCACATGGACATGCAACCTGGAAAACACCACTCCGGTCTTGCATCGCAGAAACTAAGAAGTCAAGAAGGAACCGCGAATTGCTTCAAGGTTGATGCGCCAGAGGAATAGGGAGTACGTCAGGGCCTCGCGCAAATTGACCTTGGATGGACTAGCTCGGCGTTCACCATATCAGGGTGCGAGGTTGAATATGAGCACCGAGCAGAAGTTGGGTAAAACACGGGTCCTCGGTCTCCGACTCAATGTAGCTCCTGACTCACCTTTCCCAACCACTCATCGGGGATGGCCCCTGAACGGCGAATGGCCCAGCAAACGTCTCTTCGGTAGACCCGCTGATCACACGCGCTGCATACAGTAGTATACAGGCACCCGGGACTGTCGAGGTGACCACACAGCACCTCTACATGAAGTCCTCTTCCCACTCGCGCACGGATCCCTTTGGTGCCTCCGCCATCCCGTCATCGTCCTCTTCCGCCTGCTGCTCGAACAGCGTGTCGTACGAGCGAGCAGCCTTCTCCGCGGCGCGCTGACGCGCAAGCTCTTCGTCTGTCTTCTTCTGCACATCCAATCGTCAATGAATCACCGGCGGGCGCCACCGAGCAGCTACGACGGCGACGCAGCATCGACGACCCCGACAAGTGGACACCGGCGCACCTTCTGCTGGGCGGCCACGCGCCGCACCGCGCTCTCCGTCTTGATGCGGTCCACGCGCTCCTGCTCGTGGTCGACCTGCCGCTCGGCCTTCGTCTTGTTGAGCCGGTTCACGATCGGGTTCTCGCGGCTCGCGACGTGGACTGCGGTGCGCACATCATTCGCACGGACATGGGTTTCACGAGAGGGGTTAGAGGCAGGGGCAGAGGCACGCACTTCGTTTGACCTGGGCCGGGCCTCGGTCAGTGGGAGGAAGGGTGTGGAGCGCCCGAGCGGAACAGGCTATGGGAGGGACTGGGAGGGGACGCTCACCCGCTTATCGTTGTGGAACGAGACCTGGCCGACGGCCATGTCGCCCGTTTTCTGTACACAGGCCCCGGGTCTCGTTAGGCGCCCCCGCGGAGGGCGACGACAGGGAAGCGCACCTTGAGGTTGTCTGCAGGCGTGTAGATAATTGTAAGGTTGTCCTTCTTGTTCCCTGTCAACGGGTACGTCAGCACCTTCGTCACGGAGGTGAAATTAAGAGGCAGTCCACGGACCCTCGATTGAGTTGGCCTTGACGAGCTGGGCGCAGTCGACGAGGAGAGGCTCGGGGATGGTCTCCCAAGCCATGCCATCCGGCATGCGTAGGTAGACGTGCGCCGACGAGAGCTTGTCGACGTGGAACCAGATGTCTTGCGGCCAGGCGTACTTAATCAGGTCTTCATCTGCAGCGGAGAGCTGTGGTTTGAGATCACGAGAAGGGTTGGGAGGCGAAACCGGGGACGACGTACTCTCGACCTTGTCTTTACCCATGTACAGGACCACCGGCGGGTCGATAGCTGGTCACCGCTGTAATCTGAGCCTTGATAACCTGGCAGAGGAAAGTTAAAAAGCTTACCTGTCGACTTGAAGAAAAGGACCATGACGATGGGTCAGTAACGCTTTGTCGGCCCTCAAGTTGGTGGATGTGTGGATGCGTGCGCGGTGCAACGGACCCAAGAGCTTTATAGTTCGTGGTGATGAGATATCACAAATTCTGGGGAAGACAATGTGGGATGTGCAAGCCACAAACAAAGAACAGAGGCAAAGGAGAAGCAGAGACGGAGAAGTCGAAGTACAAGAGAAACCAGCTCGCCGATCGAGCCATCCTCGCCGGCGCTCTCACATACTTACCACTGACGCTCGCCGCCGACGCGTGCGATGTCGACGTCCATGTCAATGCCCACACATCCGTCGAGTACTCATTCATACATCTGGCATGGCTCTATGTAGTCGCAGACTCTACGTCCAGTCCGATGAGAGGAAAAGTCTGTGCATGCACTATCTAACGCATACAATACATCAACAGCTCTGAACGATGGTCTGTCACTGAGTACGTAGTACTATGTCGCGATCGAGTGAGGAGAACGTGAAGCGATGCAGAAGGTAGGTAACTAAGTCGTGATCATATGTACAGCAGGGTATCCCTAATGTACAATGTCCCGGGACGCGAACATCCACATCCACATCCCACATCTCGGCGTCCCGGCCGCCTCACTGGCAATTCAGGCCCGGACTCAAGCTCGACGCCTCATCGCAGATCAGACGAGTATCCCTGCGGCATCGACGACCCCGTCTGGTTCGAGCCCTCGTACGTCGGATATCCGCCACGCGTCGGCGCGGCCGTCTGCGGGTACTGTTGCTGCTGCTGCTGTTGCGCACCGAACGTCTGCGAGGAGTAGCTCGGCGGGAGCGGCGCGGTCCCCGGCATCTGCATCTGCTGCGCGTGCGCCTGCGCGCCATACGGGTACCCGCCCGTGAGCTGGCGCTGCATATGGGCGGGGGGCGTCGACGGCGCGCTCCCGGAGCCGTACCCGCCCGTGAACTGGTGCTGCTGCGGCGTCGACGGCGCGCTCCCCGTGCCATATCCAGGCGCGAACGGGTTCGTGGGCGGCGGCGAGGGCGCGTAGCCCGCGTACGGGTCCACGTTCGTCGGTGGTGGCGAGGGCGCATAGGCCGTGTACGGGTTCGGCATCGGCGCGGGCGCCGCCATCGCGTGCGGGTTATACGGGAATTGCGATCCCGGGGCCGGCGCCGTCTGGAGCGGCCGTGAGTTCTGCGGCGTCGCCTGCGCTTGCAGGGGCGCGCTCGCAGGCGGCGCGATCGGCGGGGGGCTATTGGTGTACCTCGGGGGCGACGCAGGCCTGCTCGCGGCTTGTGCCTGCGCGTACGGGTGAGGGTGCGGGTTCGTCAGCCCCGAGTCGCTCCGTGTCGGCGCGCTCTGGTACCCGCCCCGCTCACTCATCTGGTACGCGCTCCCGACGCTCGCGCCCGAGTCCGTCCGCGCACCCTGCGGGCGGTGCGTAGACGCCTCCGCGAACGGGCGCACGGGTGCACGGCGTGGCTCGGGGACGTAGAGCGACGGGTCGGCGTAGCCGACTGCGCGCCCGGAGCGGTCCCATTGCTGGTAGGCAGCTGCGCCGAACGTCTCCCCACGTGCGGTGAGCGGAATCTCGCTCTCGTCGGCAGCGCCGGGGTTGAACGCGACGGAAGCGGTCGATTGGAGCATTGAGCTGTTGGAGTAAGGGCTGGATCCCAAACCCATGAGCTTCGTTTGCCTGGAAGCGGAGGCGTCAGCCAAGACGACCATTGATAACGCACGCGGAGACTGACCTCGCTTTCCGCCGCTCGTAGATGACCTCGGGTTTGGCCTTGTTCATGAGGTTGTAGATGTACCACATCGCCACGAACGTGATGATGACCGTGATGCCCACGACGACATCCTTGACAATGGTGTCCCTCGTGCTCGAGCCGCTCTTGTCGGACTGCTCGAGGGCGACACCGAGGTAAACGGTGATGAACTGCTTCGGCAGCGAGAGGATGGCGGCGACGATGAACGTCCAGATGCTCATGCCGCATGCCGAGAATACGGCGGTCGTGACTGAGGGAGACAATTAGCACGCATCTACAGAGGGAGGCGAAGTACGGCGCACAATGTCCTGGAATGGCACTCAACCGCGCGATAAGCGCAATTTTAATCCCTCCTTGCCGTACGACCCTCGCCAAGCACGCATAACGCAGATCGGTCTGCTCGAGCTTGTGGCCACGCGCTGCACAACAGTACTTAAACGCACTGGCAGCGACGTTAGGCCCCTGATATGCAAGTTGCTAGTAGCTTGACTCACTAGAAATTACCGATTTCACCGATGAATGTGCCTGCGCACACAATAGCGAAGCCAATCCCAAGGCCCCAGACGAGACCACATATGATAGCGACAATTTCATGACCGAATAGCTGAACGCGGGATGAGCAAACGCAGACTCTTCAAGCGTATGCAATTGACAACTCACTGGAGGGAAGGAAATGACAAAGAGGATGGCAATGGGGATGAGCCAGCCGAACTTGAGACTGCGGAAACGAGACTGTCAGTTTCTCGTCGTCTGTCACACGACCGGGGGCGTCGGTCGTCTACGCTGCGCAAGGAGTGGGAGACGTACCCATGCATCCAGTTGGCAGCGGGCTGTAGCCATTTGACTATTTGCGTGTGATACACCGTGAATAGAATCGTCGCGACCAGAGCGATAGTGAAAATGACATAGTACCCTACGCACGAAATGACCGTCAGTACAACACCCCCGATAGAACACTAGCACGGTGACGAGACGACGCAGTCCTTGTGTACGTGCAGGGCAGCGCACATTCCTTGGCACGAAGCACGCACCGACCCATAGCCGACGCTAGGTGTGGAGCCCCACCTTGATGACCCTCGCTACGGTTGCGAAGGCGCGTCGGCCCAGCGAACAGACCGCAGCGCAGAACAGCGTCTGCGCAGGTTGCCCAGGCCGATGGAGGTGTCGCAACTGCATCTGTGCCACCGCATGCTGGTCGTCAACGCCATACGGATGTGGCGCCGACGATCAACACGCCGACTGAGACGCAGACGCAGTGTGCGCGAGCCAACGGGGCACGATGACCGTCGTTGAGCCAAATGTAGCCCAGGAAGGAGCCTGGGGTCGCCGGAGAAGTGTGAGAAAGCCTGGAGTGTTCACACCGGCGTGAAGTCGTGGACCAGACTCGGAAACAACATGCAGCGGGCTGAGCGGTCAAGTAACTGCTGTAACGGCAGCGTCGCCCACCGGCGACGATGCTGAGGACCCAGCAGAGGACACCTGCGCCGCCCAGGACGAAGAGAGAGAACGAACACGCACATGCCCACTCCTTCCTAATCCAATACCGCCAACTCGACATCGCCTTCCAGTCGAACAACGACGTCTTCGTGAGCTCCTCCGCCTCGCTCGGCGTCGGGCTCGGCGTGCGCGCAGTCGCGCGCATGTCCACCGCGGCGTCGCCGCCCTTCGCGTACTTGAACGGGGACGTGCGCTCGTCGTCGTCCAGCGAGATGCGGCTCGCGCCAGGCGGGTAGAACTGGCCGTCGCCCGCCGCGGCGGGGCTCGCGCTGGTGTAGGGCGCGTTGACGGTGGGGGACGTGCGGGAGCCGTATGCCGGATACGAGGCCATGGCGGGGGTCGCGCGGGCGGAAGGGGTGCGGGCGGGGGACGTGGTAGCGGCCGCAGGCGTTACTAGGTCGCGGCGAGAGGGTCGTAACGGGGACGGATGGGGGCGGCCGTCGTGGGCGTCGAAAGGAGGGAGGATATTACGGCGGGCGTAGGGATAGCGGAGGGAGCGGTGGGGAGGAATATGTAGAGCCTTGCTGCTCCGGCGCACAGCTTCAACTTGCTGCAGCCTCCCGCGTTCTCACGCATCCGAGGTGCCCTTGGCACCTACGCACTGCGCTCGGCCCCCCGCTGACTCTCCCTCGATGACCTCTGTTGTGCTGTCAGCTGCTGCGCTATCAAGGCGTCGTATTTCGAGAGCAGGTCGTCGGTAGACGCAGCCCGTCGTGCGTGGGCGAGGGCCGTCCTGCGACGCACACGACGTGCAGTGTCCATGTCCGAGGCCTGGCCGAACTCGTTCCCAAATAGGACAGGCATGCAGTACAACACAGCAACAGTTGACATTCAGAGCAAGCAAGAGAGTTGTTACGATACATGCGGATGCGGTACGTGTGCGAGATACTAGCAGAGCAAAGAAACGAATACGAAAACAAGCGCAATGACGTGCAAGGTGCGATTAACCATGGCCAGCCCGAGCGAGTGAGCGCGCGCGCAACGCGGCGATCACCCGCCTCGCGCAGGCCACCGTCATGTAGTATGCAAGATGTAGGGTATACTGCTGAATTGCCGAGGTGTCCAGTCGTGTCCGTCGTCGCAGTAGTCGTGAGTGATGTCCGTCAAAGCAGTGCAGGCTCTACTGCGTGTGCCCGGAGCCCGGGCCAGCAAGGCCCACTGCTCAGTGCTATCCGGTATCACCACCGACTCCGTGCGCTTGCGGGGGAAGCTGGAGCTCGGCGCCCATATCCAGAGGCGCGGAAATGCGGGCCGCGGACGGACGCCGTTGCGGGGCGAGCGAGGGGGATGACACCTCGATGCCCGCCATTGAGATGCTCTCTACAGACGGGTCGTCGGTGACGTCCGACTGCTCGTCGTCGAATGCGGGCACCAACGGCAGCGACGCGTAGGACGGCGCGGGGACGTATGGGGGCGGAGGCAATATGTATACCGAGGGCTGCCTCCGCACATTTCCCTGAGTGTGCGCCGCTGGGACGGACGCGAGATGCGTCGCGCCGCCGCGCCGGGCTTGGGGGATGCGGGCGGCGGAAGGCATACCGCGATGTCGAGGCCAGGCCACGCATGTGACCACGACAATGACGAGAACGAAGACCGCTGCAGTCAGAAACAAGAACATCGTAAGCTCTGCAGTACGCCGATGTTCGCCAAGCGGCGTAAAAGAGCTACTCACCTAGGGCCAGTACTAACCGGACGATCGTGCCCCTACTGATGCGTTCGCCCCCTCCACTCCCATCGCCCGCTCCCGAATTGACAAGTACCTTGCCGTGGGAGGCGTGCAAGTACCGTAGACTGAATATGACTTGAGGCGGCATGTCTGTCAATGCTGCTCTGCTCGCACTGCCAGTTCTCATGAGTCACTTGCGACGAAAGCAATAACGTCGGTACTCACCCTCCGCGGAGACAAGGTGCTTGCAGTGCGCGTAGTAGTAAGAGGAGAGAGCGAGAGTGGCCTCCGCACTAGCGCAAGAGCTCTACCGGTGCGAGGCGATGCCCTTCTTCGACAGCGGCTATGGCACAGCAGGGCACGACCTCGGTGAGGTGGGGGCGGTCGAATTGAGTAGGTGTACGTAGCCATCCAGCTTATAAGTCCCCGGGCCCGCGAGTGGCACGTACGGACGAAACCGCGTAGCCGCTGTAGCGACATGTCCCTCGGCGCAGTGTGCGGTTCGCGATGGGGGCAGCATGAGAACTCAGACTCGACGCACCTTGACTTCCGGGCGCGCCGGCGCAGCTGCACCTTATCTGTATAGAGACTACAAGGGAACTGGCCGGAAGGAACCCTAAGATGCCACCCAGGCCGGGCACATGCCACGGTCGCCGGCCAGACGCCCTCGTTGAGGTGGTCAACGGGGAGCATCTCCGCCAGACATATACTCGCTAGAAGCGGCGCGGCGGCCTGCAATTGAAGTCGAAGACCTGAAAGGGTTACATGGGGAGCTCTTGGCACAAAATGTGTGGCCAAACTGCCCTAGGCATCGCTGACCAAGGTACAGGGATTGCAGATACTTACAGCGCTCGAGTTCCCAGCCCGGCTCGGAGTGGCGACCGGGGCGACACTGCATGTCTGACCCACGGATCCAGAGCTCCGGTGTGTATCCAAGCTGTGTGCATCTTCTGTTCCAATCGTCCACTTCTACGCTCGCCACTCCGTCAGAGTCGGGCACTGCGATAAGCGAGGACGACCTACCGTACCCCATTACCTGCCGTATCTGAGCAGCAAAGCAGTGCGCGACGTGTCATATGGATCGATGACCACTGGGGCGACTTTCCGCAGACGCAGGAGATATTCGGACCAACACGGACCATGCACATGCATACATTGACCACAGAGGCACCTGTGACATGCGCAGCCTGCCCGAGCCAGCTGGAGTCATACACAACAAGTAGAACAAATGGACGTCCGCACAAAGAGACATCTGGCCGTTTCGCCATTGTACTCTGAGTCCGCCAAGCGATATGGTGCTACACGCGCCCGAGCTCATACTTCAGGCCGCCCCTCCTTAACTGGAATGCCCGCCCGGCGTATGCGTTTGAGCTGCCATACGACGCGGCCGTCATAGAAACCAAGCCTGAGTGTGAAACACACCTGTACGTAACGCGTCCCTGTCATGGAGTCCTAAGCAAGCAAGCTGCGAAGAGCGACTGAGAGACAACCTGAAGGCCACGGCAGCGAATGACGATGACGGCAGCACGTGTGGCGGACGAGCGCGAGCGCCGCCCAGATCTGTCGATGGGATCTACAGCGCCCCAGACTCCCAGCCAGCTCGAGGGCGTCCGCGCGCGAGCCCGTTGTTTCTCATCGCGACGCACAGCGTCCTCACGCTCATTGCCAACCCCCACGGCCCGCAAGCAAGCATGGACTACGACCGCCGCTCCGCCGTCTCCTCCTTCTACGGCGCACGCAAGTCCACCGACGCCCTCGATGCGTCCACCTCGTCGCCCTCGCTCGACCCGCCCCGCCGCCCGCGCGCCGACTCCGCCGCGGCGTCCTCGTTCTACGGGCCCAACCGCATGTCGCGCGCGGACACGGACTACATGACCGGCACGCCGAACGCGGGGTACAACCGCTCGTCGTTCTTCCATACGGGCAGGGAGGAGCCCGTGAAGGGCGGGACGGACGAGGCGAGGAGCATGCTGCCGAGGCCCGCGGACGACACGTTCGATATCTATGCGGACTTCAACAACGCAGGGCCGAGATACTCGACTGCTTTCGGGCAGGACACTGGGTGAGCTCGTCAGAGGCAATGATTATTATCTGCATGGTGTTAAGTGCGTCGCAGCTATCGCCAGGTGCCCTCGCCGGTACCGCGGAGTCCGGCTATGCTCAAGGAGGACGAGCCTTTCACACCAAGGGATGTCGAGCTCGTGACGGTCCCAGCTCTTGGCCCGGAATGGAAGAAGTCTGAGATGCGGGAGATGAGATCCTCGGCCAAGAGGGAGGACAAGGTCGAGTCGTTCAGGGACTGCTTCCACGCATGGAACCGCAATGAGCGAGGGTGCTGCGGGCCGTACTTCACCAGGCGGACGACAACATACGTTGTCTTCGCACTCTGCATAGCGTACGTCTCCCTCCCTGCGAGTGCTGCTGGACCCTGATCAACATCCCACAGCGTCGGCATCATCCTCGCCTTCACCATTCCCCGCGTGCCCGACGTGTTCTTCACCTCCGCTAACCCGCTCAAGAACGCCACGGCGCCCTTCAGCGAGTCCGTGCCGACGATCTTCTCGCGCTCGCCCGCGAACTTCAGCTTCCCCGCCGACATCAGCCTCGAGTTCAACACCGGCTCGAACTTCCTGCCCGTCCACATCACCAAGATGGAGGCGACCGTGTCAGATCTGACGACGGGCCGGCAGGTTGCCACGGGTAGTATGGGCTCGACATCACTCCCTGCGAAGGCGTACCCCATCATCGCTATGCCGCTGAACTTCACGTATGTCGCGAACAACGATTCGGATATCACATGTACGTGGATCCATGGAGCTACAATCATGCAAGCGTACTGATCATGGATGGGGTTCAAGGGGCGGATTTCTACAATGGCTGCAGAAATCCGGCGTTGAACGCGAATGGCACGCGACCAGGTACGTCGTCCCTACTCCTAGCAACGATCCCCAGACTGACCCGGTCGCAGCACTGCAATTCAACCTCGGCCTCGACATGTACATCTTCGGCCTCATCGGCAAGCGCAGCACGGCATTAACGGTTACTCAAGGCGAATGCCCTATCACCCTCCCGCAAAACTCTGTCTAACATCTAGTCCGGTCCTGAGCTCAAAGCTTCAGGCTTCGAGCACCGCCCGGCGATGACGAGTGATCCGTCGCGCAATCGGCGCATATGAGCACAGTGACATTCATTTTTGACACGGACTGGTATCTGATAGTGGACTATATTGGACCTATAATCTCCTCCTTCGCGGTTCCTAGTGTATTGATTGGTTGCTGACGACTCTCTCATCATCCTATATGCGCGAGTAGTTTGGTCGCGAGTTAATTCACGACGTTTATGCCACTGCATTGAGTAGGTGCTCGCTTTGTGAGGTCGGGCAGGTCTACTGCGTGTGGCTTCGACGCAGGTAAGGGTTGTAGAGTACAGCTCAACTGCACCTTGCGATGTTGACCAGCGAGCCAGCTGCGCACGGAACTGGTACGTGGAACGACGTCATTCTGAAGCTGTCTGTCAGAGATTGCGCTCAAGACTGCCTCCAGGTGCAAGCAGAATGAGTCGCATGTCGGACTGCGGGCAAAGACGAGATGCTACGCCGACCGTTCCTCGCCTTGGCTGTGTCGTATTTTGACATTTGACACCCATTCACAGCAATGGATCGGCGTTGCCCATCGACTTCGTCGGCGGTACAGCACAAGCATCCAACCCAGCGCCACGCGGAGGCGTACAGCCCTTCCCTGTCGGACGCTCGGACGAGGAGAAGGACGTCTCGTAGGCGCGCTGACACCGTCGAAGAGTACGACCGAGAACAGACACCGGCAGCTCGACAGGGCGTTTCGGCTGCTGCCCCAACTATCACCCTCGTTCGGGCTGGGAGAAACACTCCCGTCACCCCTACGCTGCCGCCGTTCAGTCGCACGAACACCCTCGATGTGCCGCTCTGGGATGAGTCCTTATGGTCAACGAGTCCTCGAACGGAACACTGGTCCCCGTCGAGCACCGACACCCGCGAACACCGTACACCGTATCTTAGCCCTGTCCCTCTCACCCCGCGACCTTCTCGACCACTTCGAGAGCACTCAGCATGCTCCTTCGAATCAACGCACACCTCCGCCTCGCGCATGTCCCCGCTGCCCACGCCCGACTTCACCTCGCGCGCAGGTGATACCGTGCGCTCGTACTTCCCGCGGCTCCTCTCCTTCGTGAGCACCCGCGCGAGCGAGGCCGCCACGGCCGTCGACCCCCGGCGCGCGCACGCGCGCAACGGAAGCTCCTGCTATTCCATCCAGTCCGGTGGGAGCACGGCCGTTCGCGCGTCTCGAGCCGACGAGGCGGGCGTGGGCGCGGCGCGGCCGGGCTTGCTGCCGTCATTCAGCACCACCGACAAGCTCACGATGAAATTCCCGAGGCCGCGGTCCGTCAAGAGCCTCACGCTCCGTGGCCGTGGTGGCGGAGGGGGCGCCTCGCTGGCTGCGACGATGCTGGAGGAGGGCGAGGGCCTGGGGATCGGCCGCGTCGACCGGTGGTCGCTGCACAAGTGGTGCTTGCTTCTGTCCGTGAGCACGCTGCTCGTGTACGGCCTGGCCGGGCTGGTCTGCGCCGTCCTGACTTGGTTCCGAAGTGAGTGGGCCCGCGAAGCGCACGACTGGATCAGAGCTGACGAGGGGTGTTGTAGCGTACGAGCAGGCGGGCGTCATGGTCGTCGCGGACAACGACATCCTGGTGCTCATCACGCTCGCCTCGTCCATCCTGCTCCTGTGCTTCCTCGTCGGCATCAGCGGCGCGATCCTCAACTCACGGCCCATCCTCGCGGTGTACGCGGTCCTCCTCTGGCCTGCCTTCCTCTCCATCGTCATCATCGGTTACACCGCCTACAAGCGGGACGCCTTCGCGCTCGACCGCAAGCTCAACCTCGCGTGGAGCCAGTGGTACACCCCGCTCGGGCGGCTCATCCTCCAGGACTCGCTGCGCTGTTGTGGGTACTACGATGCGCTCCACGAGGCGACGGCGAGCAGCCAGTGTTATCCACGGACCCCGCTCCCGGGATGCAAGGCCAAGCTCTACCGGTACGAGCGCGAGAACCTCGCGACGATATGGTCGGCGGCGTTCGCGCTCGTCCCGGTGCACATCATCAACATCTTCGTTTCGCTGCTGTGTTCGAATCATATTACGAGGACGTTTGGAAAGGGCATCATGCCGAAGCGGTATTGGCTGAGCAACGCGGACCTTTGTGCAGATGCTGAGCGACTGAATGGCGCATTTGCGGAGACAAGGCCTGTAGCCAGGCCCGGCCCCGCGAGACCGGTTTTGAGCACCGTGTTCCGGGAAGACAGAGAGGAGAATGAGCCGCTGCTCGTGGAAGAGTGGGACTGCCTTACGACAACCCGAGAAGGATCAGTAGGGCTTGGGTTGGACCGGGAGCTCAGGCATCGGTAGCCCGCCGTCGTCTCGCACAGGACTTCGAGAGGTGCTCAACACGAAATAATGTCGTCTATAGAGGGCAAAATTGTATATGTAGTACATCTATATATGTCTGCGGCCAACCGGATGATTGCATGCGAGTATCGTAGTACGTCTCTAATCCTCGAGCCCTTCCTCCTCCTCCGCGATCAAGCGCTCTGCCTCGAGCGCAGCCATGCACCCGCTGCCCGCGCTCGTGATCGCCTGGCGGTACCGCTTGTCCTGGACGTCGCCCGCCGCGAACACACCCTTCACGCTGGTCTGCGTCGTGCCGGGCACAGTGATGATATAGCCCTCGGAGTCCGTCTGCAGCTGGCCGCGGACGAGCGCCGTCGCGGGCTCGTGGCCGATGGCGTAGAAGAGCCCGTTCACGGGGAGATCCTTCTCCTCGCCGGTGAGCATGTTCTTTATCCTGAGGTTGTTGAGCAGGTCGCCGTCGCCCAGGCACTCGACCGCGACCGTGTTCCAGAGGATGGTGACTTTGGGGTTGTTGAGCAGGCGTTTTGCCATGATCTTCGACGCGCGCAGCTCGCCCCTCCGTACGAGAACGTAGACATGCGAGCCGTACTTCGTCAGGTCTGTCGATGGAGGCGATCAACAGCGATCATGGCGTTGAGTTGGTACAAGCGCTTACACGTCGCTTCCTCCGCTGCAGAGTCACCACCTCCGATAACAGCGAGTGGCTTGTTCCTATAGGGCCGAAAGTTAGAACGCAGCGCTCCGATGGACTCCGATGCCCGTGCACTGACCTGAAGATGGGAACGGCGCCGTCACACACGGCGCATGCACTGATGCCGCTCTGCCAGTAGGTCTCCTCGCCCCTCAGACCCAGCCGTTTTGCTGAAGCGCCAGTCGCAATGATCAGCGTATCCGCGGTTTCCGGCTCTTCATCTTCCTGAAACTCTCTCCAGTAGCGGAATGGCCGTTCGGAGAGGTCCACTTTCGAGACGGTCTCGGTGATGATGCTGGTGCCGAAACGGAGCGACTGAGCGCGGAACTTGTCCATTAGTTCAGGACCAAGAATCCCCGATGGGAATCCAGGGAAGTTCTCAACTGAGAAGCACGGATTAGCATTAAGTACGGGGCACGGGTGGTAGAAGTATGCGTGATCTGTCCCATCGTGCAGAAGACGAACGTTATGGACGCAATAGGCCGGTACATCTCTACGTGACGTCGCGCTCTGTGTCCCCGGCTTCTTCCCCATACGCACGCAGTGCACAAGGCCCATCATCTGCATTGCACGCAACGCGAATGCTAGGCGGTTCTACAGTGGCGCAGCGAAATATTCGTTCGGCAATTGCCGAAGGGCGGCCTACGCCCGGTGCTGTCAACATCGACGACGCTGAGCGCAAATGGCGCGATATCGCCGCGGCGCGCGGAGGGATAGTCAGAAGAGGTGTGAATCGCACTCACTGTCGGTCGTTGTGGTGAGCTGGCCACCTGCGGCGAAGCCATTGGCCATAAAGCCCTCAAAGAGCACAGGATTGAGGTTTGCACGAGCCAGATAGATGGCTGCTGTGTGCCCTGCGGGCCCTGAGCCGATGATGACCTGGATCCTCGTTGAGAACGCGAAAGCGGGGCTGTAGGGCGCAAAACGGGGGCGATACTGACCACTTTGGAGTGCATCTTGGACGATTGGGGGACGGTCGCATGGACACCGTTTGCGCCGTTTGTGGTGGGGGCCATGGCTGGGACGCGGGTGGAATAGGGCGAGGCAGCAGCAGCGAGGGGGATGGCCCTGTAGAGAGCCTTGAATGATAGCGATCGCAGTATGGTGGGCAGGCGAAATGAGAGGCCTTATAACGGGGCGACGACAGAAAGTCACAAGAATTAGTCAATGAGTTGATAAAGCAGGGTCACGTGACGCTTACCGCGCGTCCGCACGCGTCTTCTGGGCGCACTGGTCACCGGAAGACGCTTTCCAATCTGCATCACCAAAATCTGGTCCTGCGCGTCGACAACGGCGGGCAGACGTACCTGGGCGCGGGGGCGCACCCCCGAGGGCGACGCGGGCCCGGGGTATCCATGTCTGAGCGAGCCCGAAGGCTGGGCCGGGCGTGCAGCGGTCCTCGGCCAGAAAGCACTGCCAGACACGACGTGATCAGACCTCCGCTTTACAAGATCGATAGTAAACACTCGCTGTGGCTTGCGCTTTCGTCGAAATCACTCTCAGTCCGTCACGCGTGGCGGCGGCCCCGCCCCCGCCGGGTTAGCTAAGTGCAGACACGAGCTCGCCGCGACTGAAGTGGGATTCTGCATGCCGTTGCGGACAGGCGCCCGTGTCCTCCTGCCTGGTGGCGGCAGTGGCGGAGGTTGAAGCGGAGACAGACTCCCAGCCTGCGGGGAGAGGGCTGTCTGGGCGGAGCTTCGGAGAGTGCCGCGCCGCCTGGCTTCGCTGTCGCCGACGTCGTCGTCCCCGAACGCTCAACTGCCGCGTCGTCGTCGCTCGTCTCGCTCATCTGCACCTTTCTCTGCACCTTCATCTCCGTCGACATGTCTGACCTCTGCCCCGTCTACGCTCCCTTCTTCGGTGCCATGGTGAGCCGCCTCGTCGTTGGTGTTCTACGTGTCTTGACACAGCATGCCAGGGTTGCACCAGCGCCATCGTATTCACCTGTGAGTATAAGACACGTACCAGGAACAGTCCTCCAGTGTCGTCCGTGCTGATCATCAACGACGCGTAATGCAGGCATTGGTGCTAGGTGAGTCAGTGTGGTTGCGTTCCTCGAGGCAGCGACTGAGTGCTGTAATGACGCAGTTATGGGACGGCCAAGTCAGGAGTCGGCATTTCCGCCATGTCCGTCCTCCGCCCGGACCTGATGATGAAGTGTGTTATCCCCGTCATCATGGCTGGTATCATTGCCGTACGTGTCCCGTCGCAAAGGCACAATTCCCATTAGTTGACGTTCCCGTGACAGATCTACGGTCTCGTCGTGTCGGTCTTGATTTCCGGACAGCGTAAGTAGCAATCCATGTGCGCGTCCTTCACCATGCTTATACACGCCTTCAGTCGCCATGCACATGTCACTCTTCCAGGGCTTCGTGCAGCTCGGTGCCGGTCTCTCGGTCGGTCTTGCTGGTCTCGCGGCAGGTTTTGCTATCGGTATCGTCGGTGACGCTGGTGTGCGAGGAACCGCTCAGCAGCCACGACTCTTCGTCGGCATGGTACGCCGCGCTTCTATATGCCGCTCGCGGCACGTCTATACTCAACCTTTTTCCGCAGATCCTCATTCTCATCTTCGCCGAGGTCTTGGGTCTCTATGGTACGTGTCACGTCTTGCAGAAGCAGAATCTGTAGTGAACCTTCGCCCTCGACAGGCCTCATCGTTGCTCTCATCATGAACTCTGCGGCTTCGGACGCTTCCGGCGTTGTGAGTAGTTCTCAACACTCATGACGTAACATTCACTCAACCCACTCCCCTCAGTGTACCGCATGAAAATACGCGACAAGCGGCATACAAGACATGATTGTTGCAGCAGGACTCTCGGGGGAGCTGGCTCAGGCATCGTCTACCGTTCTCACTTACCATACATACCTTCCGCTCATGAGGAACTGAAGTGCATTCACATCGTCTCAAACTACTCGCGTTCTCGATATTATATATTGGCAGGAACTGTGCTGTGCCTGAGTGATATGTTGAACCCTGATTAAGACCTTGTTGCCGGAAGGAACTAATATGTACAGTGTCAGATGAAGGTATGGGGGAAGCGTGAATCCCTGAGCATAAACCCCAAACCAATGCAGATATACAAAATACAATAAAGACATGTGGTGGTCCGATAGTGGATGCTATGCAGATTGCGTTCTAGGACGGGACCGAGAGGGAACGTCATACGAAGAGACACGAAGGAAAACTAGACAGCGCGACACGATGCAAACGTACGTCGGTCGCGAGGACAGCACCGTTACGCTGCAAATATCGCATGGCGCGCCGGGTTGGGCGTGATGCCTATCGCAACTACGCCCGGCTCGGACTCGGAACCATCAGCGTCGGTGTCCACCCACGCGTCGCCCTCGCTGCCTTCCGCGTCGGACGCGGGGCTGGAGACGACGCACATCCGTGGGAGGTCATTGGGTGCCGAAAGGCGCAAGGGGGACAGCGTCGGGCGGAGCTGCTTGCCCTTGCCCTTGCTCGCTGTGGGGGTCGGCGGAGCCTCGGGACGCGGACTGAAGACGTCCACGGCGGGGGTCGCACCCTCCGACACGAGCACAGTGCGCGACGACCCGGCGCTCTCGGTTTCACGCACGGTGCCCAGGGTCTCCTCTGCGCCCATGCGCGCACTGTCGGGTGCGCGGCTCTGCACGCCGCTGGTGCTCTTGACCTCGTGCAAGTGCGCGCTCCGCGCCCACCGCTTCGCAGAGCGCGGCACGGACTCGATCGCCGTCGTACCAAAGCCCGAGCCGAACCCTGCGCTGCTCGAGGTCGAGCGCGTCATCTGCGGGCGCGCTGAGGGTGGCGGGGTCGACGTCGTCTGTGTACTGCGTGCGTGCAGGTTATGGTAGCGCGGCGTGGAGACGCGCAGGGAGGAGGGCGTGCGTGGGCGGGAGCTGAGGTGGCGGGTCGCGGAGCGGGGATGGGAGAAGGTAGGAGAGCGTGGGCTGGTGCTGAGGAAGGGTCGGTGCGAGGGGGTTTGTGTGCTTTGTGAGGGGAAGTCGACTTTCTCCGCTGAGGCGCGTCAGAATGAGTAGTGGTCTGGAAGCAGTGTTGTGCTAATAGACATACCTGGGTTTTTGTCAATTTGTCTTAATTCGGGCCGCGAGACGGGTTTAGGGGTTGGACTGCGGCTTCTGAAGCGATTCACCCAGTCGCCGCTCAGGCTCAATGTCCTCCTGCCCCACTCGCGCATGCCCATAGGTCGGCCAGCATCTGGGACACGGTGTACGGATGCATGTTCTCCCCTCGAACCACGTGTGAGGGCCATGAACACCAGGACGGCGAGGAGCAAGCAGAGCTGCAGTATACCGAGCCGCTTCTCGAGGACGACCTAATTATAGAGAGACTGATCAACGACAAGATGAAAACGTCAATTGAGAGCGGCACGGACCTCTTCTGTGAGGTGGTTCACTTTGACAAGGAGTTCGCGGTGCTCCCACTCGAGCTTCCTCCGTTGCTTGTCGAACTCGGTGACAGAACGCTGGTACATCTGAGCCTGCGCTTTGCCCTGTGCGCATGGATGCCAACACAGCGTTAGTTACACGTGAACAGTGTGCACCGATGGTAGGCAACATACGATTCCCTCGAGACGGCCCAAGTCCTCGCCCAGGCGCAACAACACCTCTCGTATTCCGGCAGTCTGCTCTTCGACGTAGCGCGCGTACAGCGTGGTGTTGGCCTCCAAGACAGACAGGCGGTTCATGATGGTACGGTAGATGGACTCGCCTCCAGTGCTGGCTGGGGGGAATACAACAGGGGGTGAAGGAGGAGGCGAATGCGACTGCGAGGCGGCCAGTGAGACGGAAGATGATACGGACGAAGATAGATTCGATGCAATGGAAGCCACCCGAGACTGAGATGCGTGGGCACTCTCAACAGGTCCAGATGATGTGCCTTCGTGAGGTGGCCTATTGTGGTACGAAGGCGGATAATGGTCCGAAGATAGAGACGTAGATATCGCCCAGGAAGGAGTGGTCGCCTTCGCAGAATCATTGTCGGCGGGATGCGCTGTTTGTGATTCGTGGGATACGTTGTCGAGGTCATCAGGGGTCGTGGACATGTCCGGAGTGGTAGTATCTGCAGGTGTCGTAGGTGGGATCGAAGCCGCGGTATCGGACACCGGTGCTGCGTCCTGGGTCGGTTGCGGTTCCTCAAGAGTATGCGGCCCGGAGGGAATCTGTACTGACGGTTCCCTCGATGATACAGAGGAAGCACCATCCTCATCGGCTGCATGTTCGGTTTCCGACGCAACTCGAGTTGAGCCCTTCATGGCCGCTTCGGTTTCGACGGACTGCGGCTTTGAGACGTCCGCGACAGGTATGTGAGCCGTCTGCGGAGGTTCAGGGTGGCTGTCTGCAGCCGCACTTGCATCACTAGCCCGTCGTGCCCTGCTCTGCTGTTCCCATTCGTCCCACTTCCATTGCTCTAAATGCGTCAGGCCATAGACGCGGAGTAGGGAGAGGGGGCAGTAGTACTCATTGCCGTAATGCGAGTGGAAGTCGATCCGGATGAAACGATAGAAGTCGCGCAGGGTAGGCGGTGGATGGAACGACTGATGACGTGCTGAGTACCAAGAAAGATACGAAGGTGCTTTGCACATACCTGAACCCCGCGCACATTCTGCGCACGATATGTGCCCGCATGCGTCCAACCCTGCTCGTCCGTCGGAGGCGTCTTCGCCACGCTCACCGAGAAGTCCTTGAACACGCCGCTGAAGAACTCGTAGTTCGCCATTTGCACCGTATCAATCATGATGTCGTCGCAGAGCTCCACCACCACGAACTGCTTCTCCTCCGCACAGGGACTGAGCAGATACCTGTCCTTCTTCGAGGAGAGGATGGACGACGGTGACTTCGCTGAGCGGTGTGCGGTGTGCACGCGGGCGGAGCAGTCCGTTGCCGCATAGTTGAAACGGTCGACGATGGGTATGCGAAGTTGCGGGGCGAGACGTTCGTCATGGTGGGATACGTCTGCGCTATCCTGAAGACCGCTGGGTTGCACCACGCCGAAGACTCGGCTCGATGAGGCCGCCTTGTCCTGCCCATCGACGTCGTTTCTCTCCTTTCCTCCCGCGGACCTTTGAGCGGTGTTCGCCGCCGGAGAAGACCTCGCAGGAGATTCTCTAGCTTCGCCGAGGCGTCTAGCCTTCCAGTCCTCGAAGGAAATGAAGACATCGTCTCCTGCACTAGGCTCAGCAGGCTCTAGAGGTCTGAGACAGCAGATGGGAGGTTCTTCTCGCTTGGGAGCCTGTAAAGCGATCTCGCGGAACGGATCATTCGACGACGAAGGTGCGCCGAGAACTGGAGATGCAAACACCAGCGCGAGGAGTGAAGTTGGAAGCAACGAGGGGAACATGACGTCCAGTAGATGTCTATGCAGCAGATACTCCTCTTCCCAACCTGCTCCTAAATAGATCAGGTTCCAGCATTCAGATTCGCATACGTGGACGTGTAGGGGATAGTGGTGGTAGCCCGCAGAGTGTGAACGTGCAAGGCCTCGGTGCGCGTACCTTGACGAGTGCTAGTGATGACGTGCCTTGATACCGCGTATGGTAGATTAGGATACCGTACTTATCACACTGACTTTCTATTGAGACAGCTACAAACCGATCTATACAAATCCGCTGATGTAAGCAAGTAAGTACTTACTGCAGGTTCCAGGTAATCGGAGTCTTTCCTCATCAAACCCCATTTTTGCATAGTGCACAGTGAGTATCTCAATCGAACCGCTTGGAACCGCGATGATATCTGTTCAGCGGAACCCATGAGTCGACAGGTGTAGTCTGAGAACCAGGGCCGGAACGAGTCTAAGCAAGGAATGTGCATTACTGTGTTTCGAGAGTCCATCCTGAGAACATAGGCATACTACTACCGGTGAGCCCAACGAAGCCAACAATGACATTGCCTTCAGCCTACCGTAATCAGCAAAGGCGTCCTGAACAGCAGATGGAGAAGGTATGATCTGGATCGCATCGCACGTTTCAACTGGATATGGTGATCATGGCGAGCCCGAGCAAAGCTCAAAAGCAAGACATGCAGGTTGAGTATCGAATGCTCGCGGGGAGGATGGAGTACTCTTCAACCTACCAATCGCTCAAGGTCAATATCGTGCGCCCACTTGCCTCCACTTGCGCAGGAACTGCACAACAGGTCTCCACAATATGCTTCCTTAGCGCGGCCGGGCACCGCGGACGCTCACGAATGTTGAGCGCACAGCGCCCAAATTTACATTCTTGGACTGCAATCTGACCGCAATACATCATGAACTCTAACAACTGGTAAAAGAGCTCAAGCCGCTCAGGGAGCGGGGGCTTCGAAGCTTACCCACACCTTCGACCTACCTTGAACCCCCTCCGCCGCTGGTGCTGTCGCCTGCAGTCCCACCCACGACTCGCCACGAATACAACGACCAGTGACGCCCCTCGATACGTTCGCCCCCTCTCCCCCTTCCGCGCCACACCGCACCCGAGTTAGCCCTTCCATAGTGGACAGATAAACGTGCGCCTCGTCCACGCTGTATCACACAGGGTGCTCACTAACATGACGCTCCTCCTTGCGTTCCTGCATAGCATGCCTGGCATTATTAGCACGCCTACAAGCAATCCTGTCCCCAGCACAGACTTTCGTCCACAGGCAGGCGCCACAGACGCGGAGGCATCAGTAGCGGGGACAGAGCACCAAGACACCGAGTTCGACATGACCAACGAAGCTGAAGAGAACGACGAAGAAGATGAAGACGCACGATTCTTCCGGGAGCTCAAGGAGAGGCGAAACCTCAAAACAGTAGAGCTACACGTCGTCGTGGAGGTGCATACCGAGTTGCATGATTGAGGAGCTGGGATAGGCATATATACCCGCATTTGAACGTCATTAGTAACGATATCCGCAGAAATGAAGCGAGCCTTGTATTTGTGAACGCTGCGTGGGCTTAAGGGGCTGTGCATACCTGAACCATACGTCCTTGCTATACATGATTCGCACGCACCGCAAATAAGTACAACATTGAAAAGTTGGGCGCAGTGCTGACTGCGGCATGTCAACCGTACAAGCGGCTAATGAAGGAGTGTAGGATCGGCCACTCACCGAGGTCGATGGAACTGATAGCAGAAGAACCGATGCAGGAATCTGAATCAAATGAACTATGGCCCTCCGTTGTTAATGCATCCAGTCGTCATATGAAGGTTGCTACTCAGCGACGGATACCAACCACCACACCAATAATCGCTCCATGATCATCTGCTTATACTCGGGGGTGAAGCGTAACATCACGTTTGTCTGCAACGCTGTGATCAAATGTGCAACTCACTACGAGATCGGGGCAACCCGCATCACGCTCCTCACTGTCCACCCCTACCACCTTCCGATACCAAGTAACACCGAAGTCGTTGAGCATTACAAGAGTATCATAGCACGACGTCGGTCTTTTACATTTAGTGGACAATAGTGAATACTACGCAAACGCACCTGCCTCGCTCGCAAGAGGCGCCATCCGTCGTCCCAATTCCAGATGTTCGAGGTTGAGATACATGGTCAGTCGGCCATCATCCGCTCGGTGTGTAGGCCTTCTCCGTATGCCATGCTCTCGAAGATGATTTGGCGCCAGATGCGAATTGTGTACTCCGTCGCTTCTTCTTCGAGGACCTGTTATGATCGAAACACAGTGACAACGTTCAGCATGTAAGTCGAAGGAATAGGTGTCAACACAATACGCGTGCGGGACTTCGTATCTACTGAAGTGCGAGCTTGCCTGTTAACCGCGAAATACGATGTCATCCCGCATGCGTATCGTGGTGAACGACGGAATAGCGAGTCATGAGACACATAGAATAGGAGACGCACCGGCTCGAGGCCCTCGATCAGTTTCTGGGGACCTTTGTGATCTTTGAGATGTTCGAGGACAAACATGATGAGATCGTCATCTTCAAGCTCGCCGAGGTACGTTGTCATCTGTCGCTTCACAAGCGGCTCCAACTTCCGGTCGATCATGAGCTACGCACCCTATCAGCACCATGTACAAGAAACTGCGAGAAACATGACCGAGTACTTACGTCTGACAGGCCGTCCCACCGCACCTTCGCCTTGAACAGGGTTTCCTTATCCCTAGGCACGGACTCCTTAATCTTCTGCAGCCGCTCCTTTGCCTTCTCTCCACCCTCTGCAAGATCGAGCTTGGGAAGAGGCACCTTCCGTTTCCGTAAACTCTCTTCCTCCTCCTCTTCCTGACCAAACACGGTTGCCTTCTCCTTCGTGACCGTCTCCTGCTTCGGTGCGCCCGCGCCGGCGAGAGAGACGTTGAGCTTGACAGGCGCACCGTCTTCGAGGAGCAGCCCGGCCTTGCGTTGCTCTTCTTGCAGTGCTTGCATCTCGTCCATTTGCCGTGCAAGGAAAGCCTCAGACTCTTTGCGCAGGTTATCCACCTCGCGTTCCTCATAAAGGCGCGAGTCCTCGTCTGCCGCCTGTTCGGCAGCCAATCTCCGGGATCGCGTGGTCCGCCACCGCGCTCTGCAACTCGAAAGATGAGACAATGGCGGATGGCATGTAGATGGCACTCACCTGTCCGTATAGAACAGCTCGTCGCTTTCGTCATCATCCCACACGGCCAACCGTGATCGCATCTCAACCCGATCGCGTTCTTCTGCCTCCTTGGTGGCACGCTCACGAAGAATTGCACGCTCTAGGGCTTGTATCCGCGCTCGCTCTCTCGGCTCATACCGTTTTTCTCGCTGCGATGCCACATGAGCGTTCTGGGATGTGCAAGCACGACGACCACTTACGTCTCGGTACGACTCCTCCTCGTCTCTCCGCCGTTGCCGCTTCCTCTCCTCCTCCAACTCCTCATCCGTCTTCGTAGGTGTGCTGAAGACTCTCGCCTCCGGAGGGGAACCCCTGTCTGACTCCGCCTTCACGAAACCGACAGGCTTGTTGTAGCCCTGCGCGCCTTTGCCAAATCCCTGCTGAGGGCGACCAGCGTCAACGGGCGACGGTGGTGCCTGCTGGCCGGGCATCTGTGGTTTGCCCCATTCCCGTTGCTTGGGCCCGCTCGGTGCGGCGAGGATGTTGGGCAGCGCTTGTTGTGTCTCACGCATCTTCTCCCGCTCCCGCTTCGCCGCCCGCTCGCGGAATTGCGCGATCTCGGTCATCACGAGCCCGCGTTGCGTCTCTGGGAGGTCGGCCTCTTGCAGGTCGTGCAAGTGAGGAGGAATGATGTACTTCTCCTTGTCGATGAGGCCGTTGCTCGCCGCGTCTTGCGACTGTTTATTGATCTCAGAGAGCATTAGGTCCACCTTGGCTTTGGCGTTTCGCGTCAGTTCTTCGTCCACCTAAGCATCAGTACACAGTGAGACACCACGGTTGCCACTCGATAATAAAATGAACCCACAGGTGTGACCATTTTCTGTGCCTGATACGCGTCCAGGAACATCTTCGTCTTCTCGTCTGCCTTAACCTGCGGCGCCGCGGTAGGTGTGAAGTGATGTATGTTTGCATTGAAGACTTACCAGCAGCTTTTTGTTCACGCATCCATCCTCCAACGCAGGTAACTCTACGCCGTTGAGCAATGTCATAGCTCGCAACGCACCATCAGGATCTTGAAATTCTGCGAAACCGAATCCTTGTGGCTTGTTTGCAGGCGTAATGAGACGTTTGAAAGAGGATATTGGGCCGCAGGCCTGAGCCGGAAGATGAGCTCGCTTGCACTGGAGAAAACAGGCCTGTGCTTACTGCGAGCAAAGCGTTCAAGAAGTTGTCTGTGATACCACCGGATATGGAACCAATGAAGAGAGTGGTTGATCGCGGTTGTGGTGGTACGAATTGTGGGTGGTGATTCCCATACTGCTGCTGTGCGAGAGCCGACATTGAGGGACCTTGGCCATACGACGGCATGGGGGGACGCAGACCAAGTCCTAACCGGCTGGGCATGGGCTGCATGTTGGTAGAACTTCCTGACTACACTTGGGGATATCAATGCAGCAGCTCGCGCTATTGTAGTGCAAGGGTGGTGAACGGGAAGCGATGCGCGAGTGCTCGCCAGAGGCAGAAGTTCGGTGGCGGGAAGGAGAAGATGCAGTTGTAGACTAAGGTATCGAGATAACGTCGGAGTTTCAACATTTACTTATCCATGTATGCGCGGATAACTGTAGTCACTGATGCACCGGGCCTTGGCCCTTCGCTGTCACCAGTTACAGTCTGTGCGACCGCGACCTGGCAGCTTACCTGGACCATGCTCAACCGTGAACTTCAGTCTGACTGTGACCGACGTGATGGAACATCTTTGAATGAGCAATCTTACGGCAGTGGTGCAGCCGTGGCACTTCTACCTGCTGGTCGCACAAGTCCTCGAACAACATGGTTTAATGGGTCATTGGAGAACAGGTTTTCTGAACCTCGGATCCGTAAAGTGCAACAAGTGAAACTTCAATACATGCAAGGAAAACTATCCCGTTGTAAGTAATACATCTGACCGCCGCCTACCCATCGCGTGTAATCTCATGCGAATATCGTGATGTTCATAGTCTTGGGCCCCTTCTGTACCCTTGCGCGATTTCTCTGCAGACATCCAGAAGGGCGTACCCGACTTTCTCGAAGTCGCTGATTCACAAGCACAGGTCCACAACGCGATCAGACAACTAGAATCAACTGTCCATGGCGCACCTCATTGTATACTTGAGCACTTGCTCGAGTCCACCACCTATGGTTGTGGTAGAATGCCGAAGCATAGACTTTGTGCAGCTCTAGAAGCCTGACCTGGATAAAGCGCATGATCTCGAAGGAAGGCAGGACATCCGAAGGTACATAGCGGCAACTCCACAGCGACCTTGCGAACCGCATCAGAACCAGCTCATGCATCATGCGCTCTGCTCACCATGTTCGCAGTCCAGACACGTTCAAGCGACTGGTCCATCTCGCGTGTGCCCAATATTTCCCGCCAGCCGCTTGCCACCAGCGAGGGCAATTGACCGACAGTAGGCATTAATCTTCTCCTCTCCGCCCAAAGACTCCCGAAACTGCAGCGCTAACGACATAGACTTCAATCGGAAGAACGGTAACCGGAATGTTATAACGCAGCCGCAGGAATGCTGAGGGCAATCGTAACGTCCACAGATCCAAACCCTAGTGATGTCTGTCAGTGGCGGCATCCAATGAACGCCACGACGAGAGGTCCAGACGTAGTCACCACGCAAACTTTGAGCCAAAGGTTGACGTGTCCGGTGAGAATGGAGCGTGGATCGCCGTAGGTAACGAGGTTTCGATGATGTGTTGATTCCTGTCATTCGTAATGCTGAGCTCGCTGTACAGTGTCAATGAATTCCGGACACCCACTTCTTCGGCACATAGAGCACTGCACAACCGCGTCTGGCGAATAACCATTTGGAGCAGCTCTATACATCGTTCATGAGTACATGTGACCGTGGACCATTCATTACAGGTACTCACCGACACCCAAAAGTCTGGCTGAACCGCATTTAAGTCCACGGCCTCCTGGCCAAGTGGATGCGCCGCATCGATCACGCTCCACACCCCTTCCTCTTTGCACGTCCGAACCATATCCCTCCATGGCATCGCAGCGCCAGGCCCGGAGACGATGCTGTCAACGATCGCCACGACTCGACGCTGCGAAGAACACTTCGAAGCAGAAGCCTGAGCGGGGTCAGCATGCGCCGGAGGAATTCACGCCATCGGGCCAGCAGGCTCGTGCGAGACCACAGCAGGGAAAGGATACGTTTGTGAAATATGCCGAGTAGCGTTAGCTATCGGGTTGAACGTGCAATTGGCTAGTTTTCGACCCATAGTATCACGTTAATGGTCCCATCACTGAGTGAACGGACACGCACTGATAACGATCGCGTCCCCTTCTCGCCACTCGAAGTTCCTCAGGATAGTGTTGATTACATTGCATACGTTCGGAACCAGGACACATTCGTCCATGTCCACGTTGACGAGCCTGGCAATCTGCCGTCGCACCTCGTTCAACTTCGACTCATATCCCAACCACAAGAAATCATCTGGGTTGGACTCGATTTTGAGTGTTAAAACATTGGATGCGTCCAACACAGGCCGAGACCAAGGGCACCTAAGCCGTACAAGATAAGGCATTGAACACATGTGACTGCAGCCTAATCTATAATACAAGAGGCGTGGAATTCGCACGGGAGACAAAGAGAGCATCTGATTGGCTGAGAGACGGACACCGAGCGCTGCCCGAGCCCCGAGCGCTCTTTCACCGCGCGCGCTGCGAGAAAGGTCATCGTCGCGTCTCTTCGTTGTTTACCTCGATGATCATTTCTGGATTTGAATGGCTGGTGACGGGGCCTAGCGGGCTCTGCTTCTCAATATCTCCGAGTGTCCTGCACGACCGGGAAGGGGAGGAGACGCTCAGGAAGAGCCCGGCGAGCATTGTGAGCGCGACAGGGAAGGTTCACTGATCGAATTCATTCACAGCTCATCTGCCTCGATTCGGACACGATAGTCCTTGAAGCTTGAAGCTTGAAAGCTTGACCCGTGGCACCGTCGTCATCTAATGGCCCGGGCGACGAGACAGTGCTCGACGACTTGCTGACGCCGGAACGTGCTGTACGTATGCAATTTGTTCTGCTTTGACTCGGAAGTACTGATCTGGGAAAAGGTTTGGACGAGCGAGAAAGGAACATGAGAAAGCTGCCTAGCAAAGGAGAGGTAAGCAAAGGAAGATGAGTGCAGGTGCAGATGCGTGCAAGCAAGCGAGCTATATGCGGGCCCAGCATGCACACAGGCGGGCGAGCGAGACGGTGGGTGGTCACACACCGCGGGCGACAAGACGCATAGCGATCGCGAGCGCAAACACGACCAACGAATGGACTGCGAGCGCGCAAGGAAAGACCGGGCGAGGGCGAGCGGAGGTCAGTGGACGAAGACGAGTCAGCGGTGGTGGGAGCGCCGCGGCAATGCAATGGCACACGGCGATGGCGAGCACGCAGGACAGATGCCCGGTGTGCAAGCGCAGCCGGCGAGTGAATCACAACCGAGTACAGTGCAGGTGAGGGCGAGGGCACGGGCAAGAGCAAGGGCGAGCAAATATTGGTGGCAACGGGCGGGCGCGAGGGCGAGTGAGTGGGCAAATCAGCAATCGGCGAGTGCGAGTGCGAGCAAGTGGGGAAGAGGGGCGAGAGCAGAGCGGGTGCAGGCGCAAGTGCCAGTGCGCCAACCAGAGGCAGGTGAACTCTTCATGATGTTGTAGCTTGCGACTGCGCTGGTGCATCCTCGAGGACATGTATGTATATGCAAGTGACTGGAGCTTTCCGCTTTAATCATAGGATGTTGAACTCAGCAACTTACGAAGGCCGGGCCATCACTGAGACGGGCCCACGAAGCCGACTCGGACTCCCGGAGGCCTCATTGACCTAAGTAGGTATGGACTTACTTGAACGCTGACAAGAATGTGCGAAGGATCTCGCTGACTCTGAGTTGTTGCCCCGGAATGCCTGCTGAATGTATATATAGCTGAGTGGCAGTTCACGTTCAGCATTAAGCTATGGGCACAATGAAAGGTTCGTACGTCCGTAGCGTAGCACGGGCATCGGCTAGTGCGGAAGACGTACCGTGATTGAGGGGGACAAATTCAGGATCGAAAGCGGAGTACTTCCGGAGACGGTGACCATAACCAGGAAACTGCAAAGCCAGTTATTCGGGGGTCATCGATGGAGAGGGGTAATGCGAGGTTTGCCACTGAAGGGCCTGCAAAGTGCCGGCTCCCATGGGCCCGAGGTTAGTTCGGAGGATCGCCGCCATACCAGGTGTATCGGCTAAGACATACGCGACCAGGGGACACAAAAACTCAATCGAGAATCGACACACACGCGGTACATACCGTTCCTGTCAACAGCGCCCACGTCCGGAGAGTGCCCGCTCTAGAAGCATGTGTCTTGCGGGTGGATCAGTGGCAGTTGAGTGGCAGCCTCATCGTTGGCATCACTGCAAGCTCTTGGGCACGTTGGGCCAGTTACAGTCAGTTAGTCACTCTTACGGAAACCTTGCATGCGCAGTGATGATGACGCCAGACATCCCGGGGCCGGGCTGAGATGTAGTAACATTATGATCTGGATTCCAAAAGGTGACTGTTCTCGCAGCGTACTAGTACATAACTATCGCACTGCGGTTTGACCACATGCCGATGCATCATCAATCCGGCTTACACTGTACAGGGTACCGGGGTACATTAACTCGTCCCGTCGATGTGACAAAGAGTAGTCAGCCTGCAACGACGCTGTCTCATGAGTCCAGCTCGAACTCCACGACACTCGTCTCGACGAGATCCCAGACCTTCACGAACTTCAAGCCTGCCTGCCGACTGCCACAACAAAGTCATTAACTTGCGTTCCAGGCGAAGGGACGTCGACTCACCCAAGCGCTGTGATCTCTGGCAGGGTACGCTCCTTCGAGTTCACATTGAGGAGCATCGTGATATCCAAGTTGAACGTCCTCTTCTTTCCGGCGCCGAAGTTGGGGAGCATCGGCTCGGGGGCCTTGTACATTTTTAAGTTACTAGACTCTTAACTGGACGACTGAGACTCACCGTGTCGACACCGAGCGCAGCTACTTCCTTCACATGTGCCGAGGGCTGCAGCAGGCAATCTTCTATAAAAGGATACATCACTTTGTAGTGTGGTCTACGCTGGGATGGAGATAGCCACTCACGGACGAACAGGCGGCTCGTCGGCTTCATCGCTGCTCGGATGTTCTTTAGAATAACGAGGGCCCGGTCGTCGGTCCAGTCATGTATGATGGATCGCATCTGTGGCAGTGTGAGACACTGCCAGCGAGAAACATCGTCGGACACGCACGTAGTAGATCTCTTGCCCGGCGGGGGCAACTTGCTCGAAGAAGTTGTAGTGCGTGAAGGCGACTCTGCCTGATCGAACTGCCTCCGGGAACTCTTTGGTCCAGACCTGAGACACGACGTCGTCAAGCGGTATGCGGTCAGGTCAAATGAGGAGCTTACCTCTTTGGCTTGATTGACGGTAGCTGGCATGTCGCACAGCGTGTACTTGAGGTTCGCGCAGCGCCGGACGAGAGGCATGGAATATGCGCCTACTCCCGAGCCAATGTCGCAGACGGTCGAGATGGTGTCCCAGGGAAGCCCTGCGCATGTAGGGGATGAGACCAGGTGTTCGACGTGCTGAGTAGTTGATGCCATACCTTCCAACATAGCAAGGCTTCCTGAGAGTGTCCCAACGCCAGTCATAGCGGTATTGAAGACCTGCGACAAGCTGGTATCGGATGGTAGACTCGCATATACTCGTGCCGACTCACCCTTTCCCTATCAGGCTATACATAGAACGCTCAGGCTACGAGATGAAATGCCAATGAAAAGCCGAAACTCACCGTGGCATGCAGCCATTCGAAAAGACCAGCAGTCTCGTTCTCTGGTCCTTTGATGGCATACATAAGTGCGGTCTTCGTGGGATGGTACGAGCCATTGCTCCGGGGGTCCGTGAGGTGTTCGTACAATACAGCTCCACTCTGGTACCCCTCAGTCGTGAGGAGGTCAATATAGCACATCAGGGGATTGCTCGTCTGGAGCGCCAACGAGATCCGGTTGTTGGCGAACGTGTCGACGTCCACTGCCAACGCAACTGCATGTGAGACGGGGCATCAACTTATGGAGATGTTCCCTCTCTTACCCTCCTGGAAGCAGTGACGCACGGTCAGAGTTCTGACTATGCGAAGGAGCTTCCCTTCGTCGATCTTGATACGTGACGCGAGTTCCTTGATATGCATCCCCTCAGGATGGTCGTGAAGCACATCCGCGATGCCCGTGCGCAGAGCCAGGCGCACACAGCTGGATATGGCGGGATGAGAGAGCTAGGTAGCGGACATCAGTACATAAGTTCCACCGAGTGCTAACGACGTACATCAACGATAGTTTGCCCCGGCGGAGCCAGCGTCGCACATAGCTGTTCGCAGGCACCTTCCAAGAGACGGATGGCCCTTTTCAAATCGAGGTTGCTGGCCATAGCGAAGAAAGACTTCTCGTCAGTGGACGAAAGCGAGGGGACGTCCTCCCCCGTGCTTTCATAGGCGGCCAAAGCATCTTGCGTCGCCTTGTTGACGATTTTGAGAAGCTTTTGTACCTCTGCTTTGGCAGACATGTTCAACAGCGCGGTGGTTCCGTGCAGATACCTCACGCACAATTGAGTGCTTATAACTGAACATCCTGGGAATCTGGCCACTTTACAGCGTTAGTACTACGTTCCGGCAGACAATGACGCGTCACCTCGACTCGTCCGAATCAAATGAATTTGAAGTCATGGGTCAAATATGTCTAAACCTGTGGTTCCCGGGGTGGAGGACAAGTACAGGATCACAGCCTCGCAATGGCTTCTCTCCGGTCGCAGCCCGAATCTGTCATGATACTATCAGATCCTAGCTGTCATACATGGAACCTCATGTTACCGTGTCCCGGAGAAATGCGCGTGCCTTATTGCCGTCACGCTCGCCCCAATTCTTGAAGAGCCACTCGATCTTCATGGTTGGGTTAGTAACTGATGTAACAACTGATGAGCTCATGTTCGAAGGGGAGTATACTCACAGACCATACCCATTGCGACAACGTACATGTTTGTCTCGCGTGGTCGTTCCGAGGTACTCTTGCAGTTTCGTGATTGACGCGTCGATTGCATGAACACGTCAAAAACGTGACCGTTCCTCCATGTGCTCCGCGTACGCTACTGACGACTCGAGGTGACTCAAGGTGAGCTCGAGGGACCTCGAGGTGGCGCGCCGAGATGCCGTCGAGTCGAGTTGCAACTCGAGCGCGAGGTGACCTCGACTCGCGGCAACACTACTCATGATATCACTCGCCAGCGCCATAAGAAACACTCACCGAAACGATATTGCAGCGAGGTCCTTGAGGCCCTGAGCTAGAACGTTCGTCATGTCTTCTTCGCCGCCCGCGTGTCACTGTCAAGTTCAAACTTACAATCATTTGCATACTGGTTGTCGTTTTGCGTTCCCCAGCGTCACGTCGGGTGGGGGCTTTGGCTCCCTACCCTACTAGTACATACGCCGGCGCCTGTGCCCCCGTCCGAAAGTTCGGTATAGCTGGCATTGCGCTAGATACACTCCATATCTCGTGACGAGGGTGCAGGCTAGGTGTCCTGAGTACCATGCAGGCTAAGGCTGAAACAAGATTGTCCCAGGATCGTTCCGTGCACTCTGCAAGGTAACGGGTTTGCAATATTGATCACTGGTAGGTCCGGTGGTGCGTAGGGGCTAGCCCAAGAGCGCCAAATAAGATGCTTGTCGACGTCGCGCGCATGCAATACCCGCAAGCAATATGGAGCTGCGACTCGCGATTGGGACACCTGCTAGTAGATTTGGCAGCGAAGACAGCAATGGACATCGGAAGACTTGCAATTGACTATGTAGGACTCGTCGGCGGTCCTTGGATCCGACTCGGACTCTCGGCAGGCAGTGACTGAACTGTGTTTCAGCTACCCCTCTACTTCCATGGCGTACAAGGACCAGCTGTTCTTCCCTTCGAATATTGGACTTCTGTCTGAAATGCTGCCTGTCGTCGCCGAGTCTGCGTTGTAAATTATATACACGGAGTGTCTCCGAGCCGATCATGATGAGGAGGAGCATGAGACCTACTTTCAAATTCCCGTTGACATTGGGTGCCTAGCTCCATTACGCGCAGCGCCTCGGGTGCCAACGTCATCAGTTCCCGAATCGTCGAGACCGAACGCCATGGTGTCAGTCCCCACAGTGACTTGGAAGCCTGTACGATGGCCATCGCGGAGGAGCTCGAGAGTCCGCTGGTTGTATGCATCACCGCTAAGTGATGTGAAGACGCGTATGCGATCGATGCGATCACGCAGACGGACAGCGTTGTTCCAACGTTAACGGTAGGTGGCCACCCTGTGACAGAGTACTATCGTCTTGCAGAAGATGACGACACGACGACCTGGATTCGGCTCGAGGACCCAGTTGAGTTCATGGAACTCAGTAGCATCCAGCCAAGATTGAGCATCACATAATATCCACCGTATGTCATAGCGTGCGTTCGAGCGACGGATACAATGGTACTGGCCGTCATGTACTAGCCCCAAGAACCGGCAGACTGTCGTCACCAGTGGGCCCGTGCAGTCGTGGCGGTCAAGGCGATTAGGACGGGGGTACTCACGAATGCTGATCGTATGTGCCCGATGTACTGGAAGGAAGGCCGGAAGCGAGGGCCCCAGCTGCAGAGGGAATGTGCCTCATCAACGGCCCCAGGTCGGTGAACGCCTTGTCGTTGGCGAGCTTGAGAAAATGAGTCGTGGACAATTGCTCCGGTGACAGCAAGATGATCGACGTCTTCGTTCGCGCCTTCTTCCAGAGATCGACGCGCACCGCCTGGGCGGCCAAGGTGGTATCGTTGTTGATGACCACGGTGGTTTGAAGGCCTGCAGCCTTGAACTTAGATTCCTGGTCGCGTTTGAGCACGGGTGACAGTACGAAACATTGGGTAAACTCACCATGTCGTACTCAAGGGCCTTTGTGGCGCATACCACAACCATACATGGGTCGGCCTTGAAGCGACCTCGCAGAGCCTGCGGGCACGGCTTCCGATCCCTCGCGATGGCTTAGGCTACCAGCATATAGACCAGCATGAAGCCAGTCTTTCCTGAGCCCTTTGGTGTGATTGCGAAGACATCGACACCGTCTCAAGCCCGACAAGCACCCTCTAGTTGATAGTCGTGAGGATCCCAAGGCAGATTTGGGGACGCGATGTTGCGGCAAAAGCTGATTCCTTCGGGCGAATTGAAGGATGTAAAGAAGGATGAAGAGCCCACGGTCAACGAGAGCGGCTGCATTGACTATGACGAGCTACGATACATGCTGTGTAGTGTTGGTGAGAAGAGAATTCGAGCATAGGAGCGCGTCGCGCCCAGCGAGATTGACACGCGTGTTGCGGAGATCGAGTCGCTTACGTAACTTAGTCTCCCTAGGCAGACGTAGACAATTCCTTCAACCTTCGTGCCTCAGGATATCCTTGTCTAACGTAACTCCCCTTTGGAGGCCTACGGTGTTGGGCCCAGTGACAAGTACTGCTACTCATGAGTGACAGTGTAAGCTACGGTGACTTCAATGCACGGCTCAAGTCTCAAGACACGCCCGGGTTGTATTCTGTGCTCTGCCACATATCCTTCTTGACCAGCCTCCGCCTCGACTCTTGCTGGGCTTCTCTGTGGTTTCCCGCCTCCCAAATACCTGCGGACAGCACGAGCATGCGTACCGCGGTCAGCAGACCCGCTGTGCGCCCAAATTGGATGGTCCGGGCCTGCATCGTCATCAGGACATTCTCCGGACGATGGGAAGTCGGATGAGGTCGGATGGTGGGCTCAGCGGGCAGTGCATTCAATCAAGTATTCTACCCCGCATTTGATGGGCATTTCGGCAGCGGGGCACTCTCGAGAGCAGCCGCTATAAAGGCCATCCACGACCACCGTCAGCCGACGACCGACGACTCGGGACGAGTTCAGATCCAGAGCTTCTCGTTCCCTCAGTCTCCTCGTTGTTCAGGATGCTGGCGCACGTAGCAAGTCTGTTGGCCCTTCTCCAGGCAGCGGGCGCCCTGCCCCAGTTGTCGACTAGCAGCGCTGTTCTCTCGTCAAGCATTATTGTGTCTACCGCAAGCTCGGACGCGTCATCTTTCGTCGTTTCGACTGCGACTGCCTCTGCCTCCGCTTCCGCTTCAGCCATCTCGTCGTCGGAGCCCCTACCGCCTGTGCAGCCGTGGTGTATCAGCGAGATATTCTGTGCGGGCGCGGTACGTCGCAGAACCTCTCTGTATGGATCATAGGCATTGACAGCGAATGCTAAGCTCCTACAAGATGTCAACCTCGCCGAGGTCTACAGCGACCCCAAGACGATCGTCGACAAGCCGACTTCGAAGCGCTCGCAGGAGGTGCTCTCTGACTTCGCCGCGCTCCAGAACAACTCTGGGACGGCCGGGATCACGGAGGGCGACATCATCACATTCGAGGACGACGACTTCACGGGCGAGGGTCAGGAGCTCGCGGTGGTGACGCTCACGGACTTCAACGACAGCCCGGCGTTCCTCGAGAACGTGACGGACCCGCTGATCCAGGCGTGGGCGCAGACTGTGAGCGGGTACTGGGCGGACCTGATTCGGGAGACGAACACGAGCGCGACGTGCCCGATCTACCCGGACGCGGGCGACTGCGAGGGCACATTCATCCCTTTGAACCATACCTTTGTTATCCCGGGCGGGAGGTTTCGTGAGCAGTGTGAGTACGCTGCAACTAGTATGCGTGTATGCTGCCAATACTGACCGCCAGTGCTCTTGCAGACTATTGGGACTCGTATTGGATTGTTCAGGGCCTGATGCAGAGTGAACTCTACGACATCGCGAATTCAACTCTGCAGAACTTCATGGACGAAATTGACACCTTCGGGTTCATACCTAATGGCGGGCGCATATACTGTGTGTACACTTTCGCTAGAGACTTCCAGTAGCGGTCGCTCACCTAAGATAGACCTGGACCGTTCGCAGCCTCCGATGTTCACCCGCGTAAGTGGATCCAGGATGAATATTTGCGTCAGTGCCAGTTCTGATTGCGACTACAGATGGTTGCGGACTACGTCGCCGCTACAAACGACATGAGCATCTTGACACGCGCGATCCCGGCCATTGAAGTGCGTCGTCGTGACTTACCATGCACCACGTGTACTCACGCATCCGCCAGACTGAGCTGCAATGGTGGGTGAGCAATCGCAGCGTGCAAGTGACGAGCCCATACACGAACCAGACCTACACGATGTATCATTATTCCGTCACTAACTCCGCACCGAGACCCGAGTCATACATCGACGGTGCGTCCTTGAGTTGGTTGTCGGCCGTCCTGTGCTGATGTCCTTGGTCGGCTAGACTATGCCACTGCATTCGACCCTACGCTGCCCTCGCTGAACGAGACCGAGCGCTCGGCACTGTACGCGGAGCTCGCGAGCGGCGCAGAGACGGGATGGGACTACTCGTCGCGCTTCGCTGCGCAGCCATTCGCGGGTGGGACGAACAACACGAACCCCACGTTGCGTTCATTGCAGGTGCGGGAGCATATCCCTGTTGATCTCAATAGCATCCTCTGTACGTGATTCCCTCTCCATTCTTTGCACTACATACTGACCACGCATCCAGATAAGGCGCACACCCTCTTAGTCGATATGTACACCTCCACGGGGAACAGCACCGGCGCCGCCGCGCACCTCGCGACCGCCACGGCGCTGCGCGCGGGGATCCTCGACCTGCACTGGGACGCCGAGAAGCTCGCGTTCTACGACTACAACCTTACCGCGGGCGCGCGCAACAGCATCTACAGCATGGCGACGTTCTACCCGCTCTGGAACGGGATCGTGCCCGATGAGGTGCTCGGCAGCGAGGAGAACGCCTTTGGCTTGTTTGCCGGCGTGAACTTGGTGATGAACAGGTATAACGGGAGCTTGCCCGTGACGTTCTTGGAAACAGGGCTGCAGTGGTGAGTCTCATTGTGCATGACGCGCCGTTCGCGTACTGAGCATGTTGCTGCGCTGCACAGGGACAGCCCTAACGCATGGCCCCCACACCAGTTCATCGTCCTCGAAGCGCTATCGGCTCTCCCATCCAACCTCACCTCGGGCGCGCTGCCGACGCCCGCCTCGAATGAGTCGACGTATGCGCTCGTCCCCGCGGGCCAGCTCGGCCTCGCGGAGGACGAGCTGCCGGGACAGCTCCTCGGCGCGGGACTCGGGAACGCCACGAGGGTCGGGCCCGGCGCGGACATCAGCAGGCTGAACGGCACGGTCGTCAACGGTGGGAACGCGACGGAGGGGGAGGGCTGGGCGGACGTGCTCAAGCGCGAGGTGGCGAATCGGTATTTCGCGAGTGCGTTGTGTAGCTGGTGAGTTGGGGTGTTTGGGCTTGTGAGCTTGTGTTTGGTGCGCTGGGCGGACTGAGTGGGTTGCGCGGTTTCGAGGATAAAGTCTCGTGTTGTGGGCTGTTGTGAGGTCCCTGGGCGCTGTCGATCGTCGGGCCCACCCGCCGAGGGGCGCTACCGATCGTCCTGTTGATACGCCACGGGCTGCGGCGGTTGTTGTGATTGTGGGGCCCTTTCGTGTTGGTCCATTATGGGTGCTGTTGTTCTTGATGCTGACGGCTTTTCTTTGGAACCAGGCACGCAACTGGTGGGTCAATTCCCGGCCTGCTGCCACAGTTGCCCGACGACGTCCTGAACATCACTGGGAGCATCGGCAACACGGGAAATGTGAGTACATGTTTGTGGTTGTACGGGCTGCGGAGGAGGAGACTAACGCGCCGCCCCAGATGTTTGAGAAGTTCAATACGACTGATGTAGACTCATCCGGTAGTGGCGGAGAGTATACGGTCCAGGTACGGCAACTCTTGTGGTTTTTTCCAGTGATGACGTCTTATATCTGTGCTGATATACGATACTCAGGCTGGCTTCGGGTGGACGAATGGCGTCGTGCTATGGATTGCCGCAAACTACGGTCATGTGCTTGCGGCTCCTGATTGCCCCGACATCCTCGAGATCGTCGGCGCAAGCAGCAACAGTAGCGGCACCACCACTACCACTACTTCTACGACGTCGTCCTCGGCGTCCGTCGGCTCGATAGCAAGTACGACTGGCACCGCCCTTGGGCAAGCTGCGTCAGGCCAGACCAACGGGGCACCTAGGAGTTTGTCTGTGGGCGCGGCGTTCGCAGCGATCTTCGCGGGCAGTGCTCTGGTGATATACTTGGCATGATCTTGGTCTGTGCGATGCCGCCGATGCGTATGACTAAAAGGGCGTGTCGATGCGTCCATACGATCTCAAGGACTTTACGAGCGAGATGATCTAGGCGGACTCCAGATTTTGTTTTGGGATGTTGTCGACGAACTTTGTGACGTGCTGATGTATGTACGAAGGAATTAGTTTCGCAATGGTTTGTTGTGAAGATCCGGAGGTGCGGTGACGCATCATTGTGCTGTGGCATGCGGGGCGCTTCAACAAGATAGTACAGGTGTATCGTTGGAATATGCACGCAGTGTCCGGAAGAGGAATAATCAGTGAGTATGCGTCCGGCTTGTCGCTATGCCCTGATGCGATCCCCCTGCAGCCACAGTCCCGGGCATCGACTTAGCGATCTTTTCTTACCTACACCGTTGCACAGCTGCAACTTGGCTGGCAACGACAGGCTTTGTTATGGTGGGCTCTGAGACAACATATTGTGATACGGCCTGACTTTGCTAGAGACTGTTGTAGAGATCAAGTCTTCATCTTCACGCGAGCTCAATACTCAATACCAGTCAACACCGCGGACATCCGGTAGGTTTACCCGCGGACATCCAGTAGGACGAACAACGGAGGTCTCACGTTCACCCGCGGACAACGCCCGACTGAGTCCAGCTGGAGCAGTGAGTCAGAAAGTACCGGATGTGAAGCTTGCGACGTGATTCTGAAGATTGATGATGACAGATTTTCCGTACAGTATAGGAAGTTGCGCCGTTCTATGTAGTGTCAGCTGCATGACAAAATTGCGTCTGTGGCGGAGCGACGATCACCACCGAGCAACATGACCATAGGCATTGCTGCCATGAAGTTTCTGCAGAACCAATAGGCAACATAGGAACAGCATACGCGTAACAAACGTGGGTTTACCATGGCTCATCGTCATGACAGAAATGCGCCGCCGCCGGAAAGAAGCGCAGAAATGCGAGGCTGAGTGCTTCAACTGTCGGTTTCACATCACACAACTGACCGTGTCGGGCGTTTCTGGCTCATTTGACCACGATGGACGCCTCGGAATGACCATCTGCAGTCCACTGGATAGGAACGATATTCTGGCAACAGTCGAGGAATACAGATGTCACGCGTACGGCTGGCTGGCGACGAAGGTATATAAGCCGCTGGGTTGCGATGGGTATCAGCATCGACCCACCACACAACTCAACATGTCTGGCAAAACTGAAGTGCAGGCTCTACTCAGGATTATCAACCAAGCGACGCAAGACGCACTCGCCGCCTATGCGAATAGCGGGGAAGACGTTCCTTCGCTCTCCTCCGTGGACGAAACGTCCGTCCTCACGATGGCCAACAATCTTCATCTGAAGCGGGCTGTCCGGCTTTTGGAAGGTGCCTGCGAGCAGCTTTGTGCGACGTTGGCGCCTCCGGGACAATCTATCGTCGATGTAAGTGTCAACCACCGCTGAAGTGTTGTGAGCATTTATTAACGTTAACCTACCACCAGCGCTCCCAGACTCCTGTGTCCAATTGTCTGCGCGCAGCTATACATGCAGGCATCGCGGATGTGCTTCGTGGTCACCCCGAAGGGATGCATGTCAAGGATCTTTCCCCGCTCGTGAAGATCGAAGAAGGGAAGCTTTGTCGCATACTCAGGACTCTGGCTACGCGTCATTGTTTCAAAGAAGGTAAGGACTCCAGCGCATACACGGCGATCCCGCTCAAAAGAAGTTAATCCACAGTGGATGTTGACACGTTTGCTAACAACCGCCTTTCCGTCGCGCTGCTCAAGAACAGCCCCATCATGAATTTAGCCGACCTGTACGCGACTGAGGTTGGGAATGGCGGTAACGTCCTATATGAACACCTCTCAGACCCGCGGAGCAATGGATCGTACCATCCGGCGAAGTCACCGCTGATGTACGCCCTCAAGGGCCCCGGGAACGAAACTGTTGGCTTCTTCGATTGGTTGCGGTCCACGGTGAGTATTGCAGGCTCGGCATGCGTCGCGTGAAATTGTTACTGAATGTCATTCGCGTAGCCTGATCGGGAGAAGGTGAGGTATCATGCGCATTGTGAGCCCCTGCTTACTCATACCCGTGAAAGAACTTCAACACCGGTATGACGGGTGTCGGAACACTCATGGGAAGCCTCGCTTTGTTGGAAGGTACGGATGCACATAATACTTCATCCGTTATTTATGTCATCTGTGCACAGGACTTCCTTGGGACAAGATTTCGACCGTTTGCGATATTGGCTCTGGCGTAGGCGCATATGCAATTCCCCTCGTACAGCAAAACGTCAACCTCAAGTACACGCTGTGTGACATGCCGGCTACTATTGATCAAGCTAGAGAGGTCAGATTCTCGTTGCGCGTGATAACCTTTCTTACCGCGTTCCATCCCAGGTATGGACGAAAGAGTTCCCGTCAGCGGTTGAATCGGGAAAGGTCGCCTTCTCCTACTTGAACTTCTTCGAAGAAGTCGCACCGGCCGGGCAAGACATCTACTACGTTTGTGATACTGTACACGCATGATGGCGTCTGCTATACTTGACGCTTCCATAGATGAGGGCCATCTTGCATAGCTGGACCGACGACCAGGCTCTTGGCATACTCAACAACATCCGAGCTGCAATGAAACGGACCAGCCGTGTTTTTATCCGTACGTGGCCACCGTTGAACACGCTTCACGAGATGTTCTCAACCCGTTCAACGTCTCTACAGACGACCATCTGATTCAGTCCTCCGCTCGCGTCAAAAATGTCACTGCGCACGCGCAGCTTGGTGTCGACACGGTGAGCTCTAGCCCGACTCGAAGGTTGATTGCTCTAGTAGCTAATAGCGCGTAACTCAAAGGCCCCGGAGCCCATGCTTCCCAATTTCGGCTCTGGGAAGAAGAGAACGTTCAACATGGACATGTCTATGCTCATCACTTGTAACTCGAAGGAGCGCACCTTGCCGGAGATGATCACTCTTGGGTATGTCGTCCGTTACTCGATCGAAGTTGAGACCACTAAAGGTGTGTGGTAGTCGGCGGGCAGGTCTCAAGCTCGTGAAAGTCTGGGATCTGGTGGAGACCAGCATCGTCGAGCTGGAGTTTGAGTAGAGCGTCTTGAGGCCGGCAGCGATGTCCTGATAACGTGTCAACCGATTTATGTAACGATGTCTGCCTATCAATTGGACTTGATGGACGTCACGCCAATTCACAGGATAGTATCGATGTAACACATCCGAATTTGTATCATCTACCCCTCAGACAAACCCCCCCGCGACCCACGCCACGACGGTGGAAACCCAACCGCCCAACGCGGACAAGGGGAAGACTCGCGCTGACAAGGGGAAGAAACGCGCGGACAAAGGGAAGAACCGCGCGGACAAGGGGACAGACCGCGCACCCGACCCCCCATCGACGAGCCAAAATCTCGGGTACGGCCCTCCCCCGCTCGCCGGAGGTCGACCAGGACAACCCCTAGACCAGGCACCCTCCCGCCCCTCCAGCGACACACGGAAACGTCGCCGCGTCACAGACGACCAGCCCCCGGATGCCGAACCCTCCACGGATAGAGTCCAGAACTCTCCGGGAGCCTCCTTCGCACACACCGCCCCCCCGTTCCCCGAACTTGACGAGTACCCGGAGTCAGAACACGAGCCAACGGACGGCGACTACCACGCGTTCCGCGGACTCGACCCTCACGTCATACTGAACGTGCCCCCTCCCCCACCTGCCCTACACTCCACCGCGAGCTGGCAGCAGCAGTACCCACCCTGGATCGACCACATGGAGAACGACAACAACCAATGGAGCGCGGAGCCTACTTCCAACCTACCCACGACGCTAAACCATCGAGAGCCAACGCAACACGTCGACACGAGGTGGACTCCCCCAGCGGGACAAGGAACGCTTCCCTACGCTCCGAGCCACGCCGTCGCACCAACCCCATATGAACACAGCTTCGACGCGTCCCTGCTTCGCCGAGAAGAAGAATCGGCGTACTACACCCCGCCGCGACAATCGACGGCAGCCTCTCCGCTACTCCGCCGAGCCCCCACTGTCCACCACGCCCCCCTGAACGTACGATCATCACATGATCCTTACCCGCGCCCACGTCTCCAGACAACGGGACACTTTGACCTCCCTGCCCGACCTGCGCAGTCCCCGCGCCTCGCGACTCAACCCACACCGGGACCGTCAAGGATCTCAGCCAGTCAGGACGCACAGGTACCGCACCAACCTCTACTGGAGAGGCCGCAAAGCGCAGTATCGATCACCGGAGATATTCGCATGCGAGACGCGAGCCCAGGTCGTGATCATCCACCGCACATAGCGCGCTCATCCCAAGGTGACCCCATATCACCAATTCTATACATACACGCTCACACAGCTACTCCGGCACCCTTTGCAGTCCGCCGATCCCCACCCCCGGTGACCTCGAGCTCACGAAGTCAGCAACGCCCTCCACGCTCTATCTTTGACCCACCGACGCCGACGCGAACGATTTACGCTCAGCAACCGGCGCCCACACCCCTGAGCAACGCACACCCCCCCATGGCCCCTCACCCCAACCCCCCATCTACCGACGCAGCCCAGGGCCCAGTAGCCCCTATGAATCAAGCAACCCTCCCCTTCGGACACGCCACTGCTATGCCAGCCCCGCCTGGCGGATTCGAAGAAATCGTAGCCGACGACGCATACCACAAGATCGAAGGGCAGAATGCGGAACAGGCGACCGCCTGGTTCGCGGACCAGGCAAACGCAGTCCTGGCCGCCATACCTGCGCAGTCTGCGAACGACCCAGGACGATGGGAACGCATGGAAGCTCTACGTCACCACCTCCGCATCCACTTTGGGGTCCCATCTGCGATCATCATGGCGCCGATCCCTGAGAGGCCGACAAACGAACTAAACACCCCGCCGATCTACTTCCTCATTCAAGGTCTCACGCCGGCCCAACGACAAGCTATCCTACGCCAACGATGGCTATCCACCCCTGCATTCACAGCGTACTTCACCCATCTAGGCATCGAACCGTCGACTCTAGTCGGCTTCTGGACCGACCTCCAATGCTTCGGCGACGCCTCCCCGGAAGGGATCCGTGCCGCCTTTGCCCGAGTCTGGCAAGGCACGAGCGTAGCGCCCGGGATTCGTGGCTTGATCGAGCGTGACATCCAGTCCGGCGGTCGCTGGCGCAACATGTCAATCGACCAAGCATTTAACACCATCCTTGCATCCATCCGCGTACGAATCCTGCCGTTTCACTCGCGCGGAGGGATCTTAGAACCCCTGGCCGTCGTCTACTGCGAACCACCGACAGCGAGCGTAGCCGACTGGACCTTCTTCCAAAGCCTAGTCGGCTTCCAGCAATATGGAAGCGCCTTCACTGGCCACCCCGTCCACTACCAACGTCACCTACGATGCCGCATCTGTCGAGGAGCCGACCACACGATGGGCCTCTGTCCCTTGCCAAACCTCCCTGGATGGCACGGCCCGACCCCCGAATCCGACGTTATCCGTAGGCAACTACGACGCAACAACGACATCGACAACCAACAGCAAGCAAACGCTCAGAACGGAAACGGGCGCGGTAGTCGTGGCGGCCGAGGCGGACGTGGAACGAACCGTGGCAGAGGCCGCGGACGTGGAGGCCGTGGAGGAAACCCCGGACGTGGCAGACCGAATTAATCAGCTAAAATTCATACCCTATGTAACGCAACGTGTGCACCCCATTTTATGCATTGCCCATACTCATGCCTCCTAAAATAAGACGTACCTATAAGACTGAACACCCATAACGAAAAGACTGACCAACGAATGAAACCCCCCTTCTCAGACACTCCCTTGACGGATCCGTGACGTGCCCACATCTACTGACCGCACGCGGGACAGGAAAGCCGTCGCACCGTCGAGTAACACCCCCACCACTGGGTACTAATAAACTTACCCAACCTTCGGGTGAAAGCAACCACGCTTACTGTTAGGCGTGCAAGCAGGTCCCCTGAGACGCCCAGGAGCGGCGCCCGCACCTCGTGGATCGCTGTAGCGAGAATGCGTACACCAGCGGTGAACACATACAGAGATAACAACCATACGGACGATCGAATGGCAAACGGTACACCTCTCCCTCGCCCAAGAGAGTCACCTCCGCCCCCTGCCCCTAGGCCACTCAATGACGAGGCGAGGGAACTCGGAGGCAGGGCGACTACTGTCACTGACAGTAGCCGGTCACCACACAACACGCAGGCCACGAATACACCTCAGCCTGAGGCACACCGACAAAACAGCAACAGCAGTGAACGTCGTAGAGGCCGCAACACGAAAGCACCCCTCCATGCAGGCTCGCTAAACATGAACGGACGCGGCTCACTTCGCGACACGGAGAACAACAAATGGAACGCGATTAATCAAATTGCAAGGGAAAGGAAGATAGGAGTTCTAGCATTACAAGAGACCCACCTTGACGGAGAAGCAGTTGCCCGAGTACATGACCTTTACGGCCGAAGACTGCACATCCTACACTCAGAGTCAGAGAACCCGACACAGTCACAAGGTGTAGCCTTCGCCCTGAACCGTGAGTTAGTAGACATAACAAATACGAAGACAACTGCAATAGTTCCCGGCCGAGCCCTCCTCCTCACCATGCACTGGCACGGAGAGAGATCAATAACAATCCTAAACGTCTATGCCCCGAATAACACGACAGACAATGCGAACTTCTGGAACACGCTCAATTCAGCCTTCCGAGAACGTCGCCTACACAGACCGGATATGATTCTCGGAGACTTCAACGTAGTTGTCGACGCGATAGACAGACTACCAACGAAACTAGACCCACCTGCGCCCATTGAGAGCCTCTTATCCTTCCTCGAGAACATGCACGTAAGAGACGGCTGGAGACTATCAGACCCCACTGCCAAGGACTACACCTTCCCTCAACGCGGGTCCCAAACGCGTTCAAGAATCGACAGGATATATCTGAAGAACAACCTCATTCAATGAGCACACTCATGGTCTATCAACACAACAGGTGTACCCACCGACCACAGGCTAATCTCTGTGCACGTCAGCGCAGCACAAGCTCCATACGTCGGGAAAGGCAGATGGGCAATGCCCCATACTCTGCTAACAGACCACACATTCCTAACCGAGGCCACAAAGGCGGGCCAAGAGGCAGAAGCTCTCGCCACAGAGAACAGCAGCACTGAACGACGCACCAACATGAATAACCCACAACTGATATTCTCCGAGTTCAAGAAAAAAATCGCTGAGATAGCAAGACATCGCCTACGCAGTAAGATCCCTAAGATAACCGCGGAAATGGCACGTCTACAATCAGCCGGATCGTCTTTACAAGAAGAACCTGACTTCACGGACTCACCATCAAAACAACTTGAAGTTGCGATGATACAAGACAGATTACATGCCCTAGAGAAGAGACGACATGGAGACATTAAGATGTCGACCACGACACGATATCTCCTGAATGCTGAGATTCCGAGCAAGTACTGGTCAGCAGTGAATAAAGAGAAGAAGCCGAGGGACATATTCTTCGCACTGCAGAAACCAGGACATGACCCCAAAGAATACGAACACCGGTCAGACAGAATGGCGAAGCTAGCAAGAGACTACCATGACAACCTACAGTATGATGGCCTCAACACACTCCCCGACCATGACGAAAGGATACAACATGTTCTAAACCACGTACAAACACGAGTAACAACCACACAATCTAACACCCTCACGGACCGAATAACGGAGGATGAGATACGCACCGCACTGAAAAGGGCAGGCGCTGGGAAGGCAGCAGGCCTCGACGGCCTCACCTATGAATTCTGGGCAGCAATGGAAGAGAGATGGCAGTATACAACGCCCAACTCACCCATACAATTCAACTGCATCAACTTATTACGCATAGTGTACACAGACATCGACCGATATGGAATACATCCGAAAGCCGGTTTTGCGGACGGTTGGATGTGTCCCCTATACAAGAAGAAGGATCGAAGGGTCATAGCGAATTACCGCCCTATAACCTTACTCAACGCCGACTACAAGCTATATACGAAGATCTTAGCTTCAAGACTGGGCGAGATCGCACCTTCAATCATCCATCCCAATCAAGCAGGCTTCATCCGCGACAGGAAGATTACTGACCAAACACAACTGTGTCGAACAGTGGTAGATTATGCAGAAGCTGCAGAAGAAGACGGCGTTATCGTAGCCTTGGACCAAGAAAAAGCGTACGACAAAATCGAACATAACTACCTATGGCTAACCCTAGCATGCTTCGGCTTACCCGAAAACTTCATTAAACGAGTACAAGAACTGTACAAACACGCAACAACATCAGTCATCCTGAACGGAGAATCAAGCAAACCTTTTCAAGTCATCCGGGGCGTACGACAGGGCGATCCTCTGTCTTGCTTACTGTTCGACCTAGCTATTGAACCCTTAGCGTGCATGCTACGCGCATTGACCCTAAAAGGAGTAAACGTACCAGGCGCTATCGAACGATTAATCACATCCCTATTCGCGGACGATACATCAACATTTCTGTCCAAACAAGACAAGTGGTCAACGTTATGGAATATACTACACCATTGGTGCGAAGCATCATGAGCAAAATTCAACGATGGCAAAACAGAAGTAATCCCCGTTGGTACACCAGAATACCGTGCCTCTGTAGCAAACACACGCTGCATCGACCCGACAGACCGAGATGACGCCATCCCCAACATGATACACATTGCCCGAGACGGTGAAGCAGTACGCATACTCGGTGCGTGGATCGGAAACAAAGTAGACAATACAGCTGTGTGGACCCCAGTCCTAGAGAAGATAGACGCATTCCTTGAACGCTGGGGAAGATGCCACCCGTCCCTCCAAGGCAAACGCCACATTGTACAAATGGGCCCAGGCGGAATGACACAGTACTTAACAACGGTACAAGGAATGCCCAAAGCGATAGAAGGCACCATAATCAAAAAGATACGCACCTTCATCTGGGGAGACACCAAGACCCCCCCAGTCGCACTTGAAACCCTCTACCTGCCAACCGAAGAAGGCGGCATCAACCTCCTTGACATCGGAGCAAGGAACGAAGCAATCCAGTTGATGTGGACGAAGAGATACCTCGACCTCACAACGGATCGCCCACTATGGGCATACCTAATGGACGACCTAATTAACAGGAATGTCTCGCCACAAGCTGGAGCCATCAGAAACAATGCAAAATTCAATACCTTCCTACAATCCTGGTCCCCATCGACGAGCAAATCGTCAAAACTACCGGAATACATCAAACGTATGCTCAAGACTGCAAAGAAATACAATGTGAGCTTCGCAGCGGTAAAACTCGACGAACATACCAAGTCAGAGCTACCAGTCTGGTACCATATCGGCGCAACGAACGCCCTGAGGCGCCTCAACAACACTGGAAACAGTGACTGTCTACGCAACCATCATCGCATCTGTTGAACTTCAACTGTTTTAGGTGTTATCACACGGGATAGGACTTATCCTTACCCGTTATGGACTTATGTTCTACTATGCTACATATTACGTACATTCTTTTCGGATTTGATCCAGACCTGTAGCACATGATTAGATCTAGACCCTGATGGAACATTCCACCGCTTTCCATCATGTTCCAGCACATTCCTTGATTGCATCGTATTGCATCATTGAGCACATCGCTGTTCCAGTCCTTTCCATGACATTCCATTCATGGTGCAATATCGCCTCATCCTTGTGTATTCGCTCATTGCACCATATCGCTCCGTTATGACTCTACGCTGTTACGCTTACTGTACGATCATGTGATGGCTCTCTCATGTGTATATATACCGGGCTGGATGCGCCCTAGAATGTAACGGTCTCTCCTCTCGTCTTAACGCCTCTGAGTCTTCCCTCTCAGCTCTTAAGAGATCTGTTGTAAGTCCTCCTTTACTACAGTGCTCTTTGTGCTCCTGTAGTATTCTTTTGTAGCCTTGCCTCAGGCTAGCCACACCACTCCTTGTTCATCAGGTTATGAGCCCTGGTCACTGACCAGCTCCCTGTACAGTGCGCACTACTGTTGTTTAAAGTCCTACTTCTTCAAGGAGTAAGTTAGGCACCGTTTGCTGTCCTTTTGGACTGAGTTTGACGTCTCAAGGACACAGTGCCCAAGGCCTTGTCAGAGCGTCTCTCCAGGGTAGCTCGAAAGAGCGATTTTAAAGTTTATCCTCCGGCCAAACCTGAGAGAAAGGTTGGTCCGACGCCGACACTATCTACCTCTGATCTTCGGATCTAACGTTTTCTTGATCCCAGTCCCATCCGCTCCCAGTTCGCCCCACCTCTACCTCCACCTCTGCACCTAAGCCTTTGGCTGAACGTCTCTCTGCGCCTCGTCCTCTCCCTGACTTCAAGCGAAAGTCCGCTGAAGACGCCAAGGGTATCCTTCTCAAGAAGGTACACGCCACCGCCGATCGTTTCCAAGCGATCTTCGACAAGAAACACCTCTTCAATCGTCTCGACGGCGATTCTCAGAAGGCTCTTCATCGTCTCGCCGACCAACTCAATTGGGTCGACGACAACATCAACAAGGTCTCTACCTGGTCGAAGGAGCAGCGCGAGAGAATTTCGTGGGCTTGCAAGCAGGTTGGGCGCGTCGAGTTTTCGACGGATACAGAGTCGCTCGCTCG